CCACCCGTCTAGAGTAAGAAGCAAGGTTGCAAAAATGAAGAAGTTTTGGCTGTGCTGGGACATGAATTGGGACACTGGAAACTTGGCCACACCATTAAAAATATTGTCATTAGCCAGGTATGTAAGAAATAATTGGGTACCTATCTACTATCACTATTCACTCAGAAAATAAAGTGGTTCCATTTTTCTGCTTGCTTTCTGCTTGTATCTTGTATAATTGAAAAAAAAAATGGAATGAGGAGATATACAAGATTTGGGCAATGTTGTTGAAACAGAGTAAATGACACATGAGGTAGGAAATCTGAATCTTTAACCTTTTTTTTTATAAAAAAGGTTATAAAAGTTATAAAAGCTACCCTAGAGAAGTGTACAATAGGTATTAGTGGCCTGGATCAGAGCTGAAGAGAGGTTGGTTTTATTTCTTTGTTTTAACCTGCCTTGCTTGTCATATAGAAATGATTGCAATAGAACAACCTGAAAGATTGCTGGCTCTGAGTGAGGTGCATAGCCAAACAAAATCGAAAAAGTCCCTCTGGAGTTTGGGAATGCTTCCACATTCTATACAATAGTATATCTTTATCCATAGAAGTGTGCATTCCAATAGGAGAGGTTCCTGTCTTTGCAGACTCAGAAAAAGCTGTGGTAGATCAGGCCAAATACTTCTCTGGTCCAGCATTCAATGCCTGTGATAGCCAACCAGATGTTCCAGGAGTACAGTATATCCACGCAGGCAGGATATAAAGGATGTAACACCCACTTCCCTCTTGTGTTACCCAGCATGCAATATCCAACCTTGATATGAGAAGATAAAAATGAAAGATTCGCTATTAATAATCACCCGTTCCATGCACCTTCATACCTTTGTGTACTCCACTTGCCAAAACCAAACCAATCACAGCTGCAATGTGCTACTGTTGCCCAACTCGTTTATTATAGATCATTTTTACTATAACATTCAAGGTGGTTAACAGTTCCTAACACCCAATGTCTTGTTTTCTCTCAGATGAACTCCTTCTTATGTTTCTTCTTATTTGCGGTGTTGATTGGTCGAAAGGAGCTTTTTGCTGCCTTTGGATTCTACGAAACCCAGCCTACCCTGATAGGCTTGCTGATCATCTTTCAGTTTATTTTCTCACCTTACAATGAGGTAAACATCCGTTTTGATTGGCACTTTGCTCAACTTATAAAAGTTTGCTCTCTCCTGGCAAAGTTGCCTGGGTTCAGGGGAGAGATTCAGCCGGTTCATACCGGGTGAACCGGTAGTTGTGACCTGCGGGTGGGCCTGCCCACTCGCCCTGGCGCTATGCTGTCCTATTTAGCTGCGTTTTTTAAGCCGTGTGCATGCATGCAAGCACGCGCGAGCGAAGCACATGTGCAGAAGGATGCACGGAAGGCATGCATGCAAATTTTTGGTGCTGGGGCGAACCGGTTGTTAAATGATGTGAAGCCCACGTCTGCCTGGGTTCCGTGTGGAAAGTTTGGTTCCTAAATTAATGTTAGATTGTATAAATGGGTTGGATCCTAGCATCCTCCCACAAAAGGAGATGAGGAAGTGGACTTTTCTGTTCCTAGTTCTCCCTCCAGACCTTTGGTCTTCCCAGAAATGTTTCTCCCAGTACTTCCTTCCGATTAGGAAGGATGCTCACAAAAACACAGGAAGTCTTCTGCCTCTCACCCCTCTCCCAGAGGTGGTTCTCTTGAGGTTTTCCAAAACCCTTCCATCTTCCATGCTATAATCCAACTCATTAAGGTGACTCCTTTCACTCTCTGTAATGTTTTTTTGGAGGGTGGCATCTGGGGCCTGACAGGAAGGAGAGAGCGCTAGTTCCTTTCTGTAAAGAAATATCTCTACTTAAAAATTAATCCCAAAATGTGGCCTACTTCCTCCTCCCTTTTAGACTTCGGAAGGTTTGATGAGATTTGGAGAAGTGGTTTTGAAAGACCGCGAAACTCATTCTGAAATTTCATCCCGTGTCATCCTCTTGTTTTCCACTGCAGGTGCTTTCCTTTTGCTTGACTGTATTAAGTCGGCGATTTGAATTTCAAGCCGATGCATTTGCCAAGAAACTCGGAAAGGCAAAAGATTTGTATTCTGCGTTGATCAAGTTGAACAAAGATAACCTGGGATTCCCCGTTTCAGACTGGTTGTTTTCAATGTGGCATTATTCCCATCCACCACTGTTAGAAAGACTTCAAGCACTGAAGGAAACTAAACAGGACTGAGGGAAAAGAACTGAGGAAGCCCAGAGGAGAAAACCACTCTCTCCAAATTGAGTTTCCAGGTTTTTTTTTAAAAAGAAGTATATACAGTATACCCATTTCATTCCTAAACACAACATCCTGCATAGTTCTATGCGCTGTTCACTTGATTTGAAACGACCTCCCCGAAGTCCTGTTTCTGACTAACAAATGAATTGTAATCAGGAGTTGAGGGAGGAATGTAACGTGTAACATTTATCTTAATCACAAAGCCATGCTTGAAAGGAAAAATAATTTGTTACAACCGACATGTCCATGCTTGAATCTGTGAAAGCTTTGAATGTGACTTTTGTACCTTTTAAGCACTTTGTCCAGATGTTCTTAAAACAGTATGGGAAACTCTTACTCATCTGTGGCAGGGCTGGAGGATAAAGATCTGAAAAATAATTTTTGGACTGTTGGGATTTGACATTTCTAAACCCAATCGCTATCCGGATGGGAACAGTGGAACTTTCTTCCACAGTTCAAGTTCTTATCTGCAATGAAATTACACAGGTGATGAAAACACCTCTTTCCCCGAATAGGGGAAGCAGAAAATAAACAGAGAATAAATTACAAATTATATATACCTTAGTTATGTGTCCTATATATATTACTATTACAATGGTTTGGAATTTGGGTTGCCTTGTCTCCTGTACCTAATTTTTCCTGGTAGCAAATAATTGCAATGTGGTTTTCTGGGTGTCCCAAATACCACATAAGGTGTTGGTATACCTGCAGACACCCCCTTGGTTTCTCTTGTCTGTCTTAGAGCCATTAATATGATCAAAGTCCTGGAGACTAAACCATATGAAGACCAGCTGCAGGTTTGGGGTCTGGCTAGTCTAAAGAAAAAAAGAATTAGGGGTGACATGATAGCAGTCTTTCAGTATTTGAGGGGTTGAAGGGTCAACTTATTCTCCAAAGCACCAGAGGGCAGAACAAGAAACAATGGTTGGAAACTAACCAAAGAGAGAAGCAACCTGGAATTAAGGAGAAACTTCCTAACAGTGTGGACAATTAACCAGTGGAACAGCTTGCCACCAGAAGTTGTAGGTGATCCATCACTGGAGGTTTTTAAGAAGAGACTGGACAGCCAGTTGTCTGAAATGGTATAGGGTCTTCTGTTTAAGCAGAGAGTTGGGTTAGAACATCCCTTTCAGCTCTGTTCTATTCTATCTGACTTTCCATATAAAAATGGGAAGCTGACACATTCCAGATTGAAATTTCAGCCTCCCTATTGTATCTGTTTCCAAGAAAGTCTCTTCAGACAGTCGAGTCTTTTTCTATTTGGAGGCTTTTGTAATGAATCTGTTGAGGGGAAAGAGGACAGGCAAAGGTTTAATATGAGAGAGGATATCTATCAACACCAAGTTTTTAATAAAAACTTTTACTGTAAGGAGTGAGTGAGTGGATGTCATCCATTCAGGACCATTACTGTATTCCATACAATGTTGCTGTTTTTTTCCCCAGGGGGGGGAAAAACCAATCCAAAATGAATCTATTTTAACATAATCCTTAAAATGGACCAATGTAGAAAATATTTCTTAACACAAATATTTGAGATGTATATTGTATGCTGTCTCTGGCTTCACAGTCGTCCCTTTGCTACTCAAGCACTAAACCACTGTTTCTCAACCTGGATGGTAAGATAGGCAGCAGGAGAAATTATGGGAGCTGAAGCCCCATGCATCTTCAAGTCAAGGTTGAGAAATACTACACTAAAAGTCTGTAGAGATACTCAGTCATCCAGGTCATGGTGTCCCAAAGGTGCTTTTTTCAGGAGGCCACTGGACTTTTTTCTTTGAAGACGTTTCGCTTCTCATCCAAGAAGCTTCTTCAGCTCTGACAGGATAGCGGCGAATGGAAGAATTTATATTCCTTGCAGACAGCTGGTCATTTACATTCTTTTTAAAGATCTTTTTAAAGATCATTGAAGCACTTGGTTTATCTGTGTCCTCAGGGTCACCTGAGTAGTGCTTAATGGTTCCTGTGGTCTGCAACCTTTCCAAAAATCCGTTCATACTCCACCATTGGAAGGGTGTTCATCCCACATTGCATAGCTATTCGATAGATATGAATCCTTCCATTCCCCACTACCATCAGGTCAGAGCTGAAGAAGCTTCTTGGATGAGAAGTGAAAGGTCTTCAAAGGAAAACCAGAAAGTCCAGTTGCCTCTTGAAAAAGCACCTTCGGGACTAACTAATGTTCTCAAATTACTTACATCATTTATAATCCGAACCCAATTTTCCTAGTGATTCATTCATATTCTCTCTCACACACACTCTCTCTCCTGTCTCTGTCTGTCTGTCTGTTTCTCAATCTGCTGGTGGAAGAAAAAAGAATTATTTTTCCATTTGTTTTGGATTTGCTTATTTATTTATTTTTCATTCAATTTATATGCCGCCTTTCTCCGGAGACTCAGGGCGGCAATGCAATTAAACTGCAATGCATGTAGTATCATCCCCAGCAGATGTCCAGTTGCCTCCTGAAAAAGCACCTAAATTCTTTGGTTTCCCGTCCTCATCCATCCAGGTTGCAGCGGCATTTGATGAGCCATGGCTTTTGCACGTGCTGCATTTACCTGGGACGGAGGCTACGGCGCGCGCGAAGGGACAAAAAAAAACCCCTCCTCGTTTCGCCACTCCCGCCCGCTTCCTCGACCGTTTCTCCTAGGGAAGGGAACCGGCTTCGGGCGGGGCTTAGAAGGACGGTGACGTAGCTCGCGCCGCGGGGGGGGGGCGGGCTTCCGGCGCGCCCGGCCTCCTCCGAGCGGAATCGCCTTTGTCCCTCCGGCTGAGGCGATGCTGTCGTCGAGCAAGAAAGTGGCCGCCGCGGAGGCCCCGGGGAGCGGCGCGGGGAGCGATGGCGCTTCCGAAGCGCCGGCACCCCCGCCTCCTCCGCCGCCTCCGGCCCTCTCCGCTTCTTTGGGGGCCGCCGCCACAGCGGCGGAGGCCGGCGTCGCCTCGGAGCGCACGCCTCGTAAGAAAGAACCGCCGCGCGCCTCGCCGCCCGGGGCTTTATCCGAACCTCCTCCCGCCGGCCCGGGCCCCGCCGTGGGCTCCGAAACGACCGGCATCGCCGAGACCCCCGAGGGCCGCAGGACCAGCCGCCGGAAACGGGCCAAGGTGGGTTGCTGCCTGAGGGAGGCACGAAGCGGAGGTCATGGTCGCCTCAGGCCGACCTCCTCGCCAAGCGCCTTTTCCTGAAACTCCTCGAAATGTAAAATTAGGATTGTGGGGGGGGAATGGGGGGGGTCCTTTGGTGACCTTCATCTTGACCTTTCAGGCAGGCCTGCATTGCAGGGGTGTTGTGAGGGCAAAAATTGGGCGGGAGAAACGGCATTTCCTCTTGAGTCAGTCAGGCATAGGGCTTTCTTAAGCCCCTGCAGATATTTTCCCTCAGAATGTATTTCTTATAAACCATTCGGTGTAAGAGGAGAGCTTTAAATAAAAGTGGCATTCCCCTTAGACCAGAGGTCTTCAAACTTGGCAGCTTTAAGACTTGTGGACTTCAACTCCCAGAATTAGCTGGCTGGAGAATTCTGGGAGTTGAAGTCCACAAGTTTGAAGACTTCTTGCCTTAGACCAGTGTTTCTCAACCTTGGTCGCTTGAAGATGGGTGGACTTCAACTCCCAGAATCCCCCAGCCAGCGCTGCTGGCTGGGGGATTCTGGGAGTTGAAGTCCACCCATCTTCAAGCGACCAAAGTTGAGAAACCCTGCCTTGGACAGAGATAAACTTGTTTTATTTTCTTACTGTTGAAATAGTAGGAGCTCTGGTGGCTCAGCAGACTAATTAACATCCACTTACATCTGCTGCTGCAATTACTGCAAGTTCAAATCTCACCAGGCTCAAGGTTGACTCAGCCTTCCATCCTTTCTAAGGTAGGTAAAATGAGGACCCAGATTATGGGGGGCAATAAGCTGACTTTGTATAAATAAACAAAAGTATGAAGGCTATTGCTTAATGCATTGTAAGCCTCCCTGAGTCTTCGGAGAAGGGCGGCATATAAATCAAATTAAAAAAAAAATGCTTGAAAGCTTACGTAGCAGTAGTAAAGCTTAATATTCAAAAGCTTAGTGTTGAAAGCTGTACATGGAAAGACTTGTTTTGCAGTTTAAGTTTTCAGAGGGCTATAAACCACATTTCACTGAAAGCAAAATTTATGTTCGCTCAATGTAAAAATTGTATTGCATTCTCCAAAACTATTTCTGCCTTTTGGGTTGGAGGGAGGGGCTGGTCTGCTATATACCCATTCTAAAATCCTTTAATGTCCCAAGCTCTTAAAGAGGTGGACAGAGGGGTAGGATTTTTTAGTTGTTGGATTCTTCTTTAACTTAATCGCTTTATGGGCAGAGTCATGATATAGTTGTCTTCCCTTCTTCCATTTTCTTTTTCTTTCTTTCTTTTTCTTTTTTTTGCCATTTGCCATTTTTTTGCCAGAATATCTTACAGAATGTTATTAGAAAAAAAAAACTTGGGAGCTTCTAGAATTCTTCTCTTCTTCCTAGGAAGACAAATATGACTCTGTTTGCAAAATTACTGAAATACTTCTGAGAAATTATGTAATTCCATATTCTTTTGATATCTTGTGCTATATCTCTTATGATTTCTCACCAGTTTTCCACTGTTCCAGGTTTGAAGGTAAAGCTTAGTTGTGAATGTGAGGTAGAATGTGTGAGAATATGACAATTGATAATATAACATGAGAAGGGAGTGGCTGTGTATATTATCTTTCATAATATTAAGCCCCGGTCCTAAAATTAAACTCTGTTGTTGAACATGGTTTTGAATAAATATTTCAGAATTGTATAGAATATTGAATTTGCATATAATTGTGGAATGAAATCAAATTCTATATCAAAAAACACTGGTATTGAACAGTTTTGAATTTGTAATCAAATTACGAAATTTCTCTTGCCCTGCTTTGGAATCTGTAATGACCGTGTGGATTTTTTCCAGAACACATCATAGGGTTAGATAATCTTATACAGATAACACTGACTTTTTCTATGATGTATTGCATCTTTAATTTGAAGCCTGTTCATTTTATTCAATACAATTTGCGTTCATTGTTTTTGGTATTAATCACCTCTCCCACAGCAATTTACTTGATCGGTCAACATTTTTTTTCTGGCCAACTCCAATTACAGGTGGAATACAGAGAAATGGATGAGAGCCTTGCTAATCTTTCTGAAGATGAGTATTACTCTGAGGAGGAAAGAAATGCTAAAGCAGAAAAAGAGAAAAAGCTACCGCCTCCCCCTCCTCCCCCACCTCCTGAGGAAGAGAATGAAAGTGAGCCGGAAGAACCATCTGGTGAGTGGAAGATCTCCATCCAGCAAGGCAACAATTATGTTACTCCTGATATATTTGTGTTTTTTTCAGGACAGCACAGAGAGGCACACACTCTAATCCTTGAGTTCACCATAGATTATGCTGTGAAAAAAAGAAAAGAGGTTATTTCTATTGATTCCTTTTTTCTCTTTAAATATAGTCAGCTATATCTTTTAAATACTGCACGTTATCATATTTTAGTTATTCAGCAAGATAGAATTGTTGGACATTGTTTAGTACAGGGGTCTGCAACCTTACGCACGCAAAGAGCCATTTGGACCAGTTTCCCACAGAAAAAAAAAAAAACACCGGGAGCCACAAAACCTGGGTAGGGGTGGCCAACTTGATGTCACACTCCCATCCAGTCACATGACCCCCCCAGCCACGCCTACTCAGCCACAAAACCATTTTCTCTATGTCTTATCCCCCCTCCCTATCATCCCCTCTCTCACCCCCTTTTTCTGTATCTCTCTGTGTCTCTCCCTATCTTCCCCCTCTCCGCCCTCTCTTATCTCTCCTCTCTCCCCCCTCTGTGTGTCTCCCTCTCTCCCTCTGTATCTCTCTCTCCCCCTATCTTCCCCTCTCTGTGTATCACTCTGTATGTGTCTCTCTGTCTCTCTCACCCCCTCTCTGTATCTATGTCTGTCTCTCTCTCTCCCCCTCTGTGTCTCTCTCTTCCCCTCTGTCTCTGTCTCCCTCCCTCCCTCTCTCTCGGAAAGCCGCTGCTGGGCCAAGCTAGCAAGCTGCTCTTGGGGTGCTTCGCTACTCCTTTTATTTCTTCTTTTTGGAAATTTGGGCTGGCTGAGGAATGATCGCTAGCAGCAGAGGCTTCCCTTTGGGCGACCGTCCTCCTCTCCACCTCCTTCTCCTCTTGTGACCCTCTGGCCGGCTGTGGCTGAGCCTGGAACATGCGCACGCGTGGGGAGACTCTTTTCCAACAAGTGCCAAAGCGCAGGAAAGGCGCGTGCGGGGTGGGGGGGGGCGCTCGCTTAAGGAGGGTCTTAACAGGACGCAGTTTCTCTCCTGCACTACGGCTCCAGCCATCACCTTGCCGTGCCATCCCCCACCACCGGCAGCTCTTCGGCTGAGCATGGAGGGCGCGAACTCCAACCCAAAGTGGCAGGAAACGAAGGCTGCCTTACGCACAAATGTGACATGAAGGCAGGTATAGGGCTGCTTCACTCCTGCACTCTCCAGCGACCCTCTCGTGGCCCTCTGGTCAGCTGTGGCTGAGCCAGAAGCGTGCACGTGTATGGGGAGACCCTCCTCAAGCAAGCACCAAAGTGCAGGAAAGCGCCACATTTGCCCGTAAGGCCCGCTTCCTGCTGCCTCGGGCTGGAGTTCGCCCCCTCAGCGCTCAGCCGAAGAGCTGCCGGGGGTGGGGGACGACACGGCAAGGCGATGGCTGGAGCTGTAGTGCAGGAGAGAAGCCGCGTCCTGTTAAAACACTCCTTAAGCACCCGCCCACCCTTTGCATGCCTTTCCTGTGCTTTGGCGCTCGCTTGAGGAGAGTCTCCCCACTCGTGCGCACGCTCCTGGCTCAGCCACAGCTGGCCAGAGGGTCATGAGGGGGGGAGGAGGAGGAGGGTCGCCCGAAGGGAAGCCTTTGCTGCGGCTGGCTATCGTTCCTCAGCCAGCCCAGATTTCCAGAAATATCCAAAAAAGAACTAAAAGGGGCGAGGGGCAGGACCAACCAGTGATGGGACAGGGAGCCGCAGCAGAGGGCCCAAAGAGCCACTTGCGACTCCGGAGCCGCAGGTTGCCGACACCCAGTTTAGTATAATGGTTCACTTGTTTTGCAACTAGGACTTTTATATAGTCTTGATTTTGTAAATAAAAAGTTAAATTTTTGTGAGAACTGCTTATAATTTTTTTTCCACTGCACTCTATTAAATAATGACCAGATATTTCTGTTTCAGAGAAAGAGTCATCCTGTTTCTAGCATCTTGTTTTGCTAAGGTCCAACTACATGTACAGTATAGTGTTAACATTGTGTCGTGCCTTATGGAAAAGGCATTGACATCTGCCTTTTTTAAAAAACACAGTTAATCTTGCATGGCACATGGTTGGTATTTTTTCAATTAAGAAGATGGCATCAGGTGAAAAGGTATAATTTAGTAGATACCACAGTTTGGTTTTAGACAGCTGAATAGATCCAGGTTTAGCCATTTTTGGATTGTTGAATAGATCCACTTGGAGTAAACTTTATAAAATTAGATAACAAACCAGTTTGAGTGTATTTGAAGTTGTGTTTCTTGACTATATTATTTGTGGAAGAGACATGGCTTGGTAGCATTTCTAATCTATATATTCTCTAACTTTCAATCTTAATTTGCTGAATTGTGCTAGGATTGCTATTCTTAATTAAGAGATGCAAGCTTTGGCTTTTGCTGCTAGATATTTTTGCCAGTGTTCTCTGAACCAGAAATCATTTGTATCCTTTTTCTATTTAATACGTACGTGCTGGGAATGTTTTCCTCTGATTCAGAAAGACAATAAAATTTGTCAATTTATAGGAGTGCAATTATAAAGATAGCAGAAATGAAAATCCAGTTATAACATGCACTTATTTGGGTGGTAGATAAATACAGTTTTCTCATATAAACATTCATTTCAGGGTCACCCAAGCTCCTTATTTCAATGTGTAATATAGGGCAGGCTATTGGGAAATAATTGAGGTTCTTGCTGATCTGTTGCAAACCTATCAGAGATCTGTCAGTACCTCCAGATCTGTCTTATTCTCATCCATGTTCTTTGTATTCTGTGTTACATATATAGATATTTCAGAGAGAGCAAGAGGGAATACACAGTTAAATCTGAATATTTTGAAGGTGCAGATGTATCTCCAAATTGCTTATCTAGGAAGGAATTTAACATTAGCATTATTTAATAATTTATGTACTCTATGAATCACAGAATTATACAGTTAGTTTACTTGAATTCACTTCTTTATCTGGAAATAAAAGGAGGCACCATAATTGCATAAAGCAAATAAGTTTCTGCTAATAGGAAACTTTCATTGACAGTTTAACTTAAATTTCATTAATTAGGAATTTCAATGTTGGTCTTTGAAAAATGTTTTTAACTACAGTGCATCTGGTGCCTTATTACTTTGTCATAATCTTATTTTTTTGAAAAAAATAATTTCTATTGACTGCAGAGTTAGCAAAACAGTACACTGGCTTCAATTTCAAGGCTACAAGGTATCTAGTTTTTTATCTTTATTCATTCTTTAGCATTTATTTTCAATCTATTTCTGCTGTCAGCTTGTTTATGATACATCAGTATAAATATATCTATCAAATTTTGTCAGCATGCGTATTCCTTTTCCAGATCCCGAGTATTTGTTTCATTGATTGCTTGCCTTTTGTTCTAGAGCTCAGGGCAGTGTGTGTAGCATTTCCTTCTCTCCTTTTTCCCATAGCAACACTCCTGTGAGGTAGGTTGGATTGGGAGGCTGTGACCAGTCCAAATTCACTCAGAAAGCTTTTATGGCAATTAGTTGATTTGAATTTGATGGATTTCTCTAGGGCTAATCCAATGCCCTAACCACAGCAAGGTCAGGTTTTATTTTCACTTCTGGAAAAGTTCTATTACTTCCCTCAGATCCATACCTCTTTTTTTCAGTTTTTTGTCACAGATATTTACGAGTTTAGTACAAGGTTTAGAATGCTTCTTGGTTGTTTTCTTTTGAATCTTTAGAAGAAGTTTAAACTGTTCATTTGCCACTTTTTATAGGAAGTAACTTGATATTTACCAATCTTAACTGGTATAATCAAATTTCACTGGTCTTTATATTGGGTAGCAATTTTATTTAAAGTGCATCTTCAAGCACATTTATCTCTTCATATAAGACTTAATTGTTTTACAGATTGGTGGAACAGCAAGGATTTGATAAATTAATTTTTCATAGCAAAAATCTGCTTTTGAATTGTTCAGAAAATTGTACCAGAATATCTGAATAAAACATGTTAAATCCCCCAATTGTCATTTCTGTGATTTTTTTTTTTTTAGATTGCAACAAAATAAGAGGAAACCTTTCAATTAAAAGAAATTCAACAGCTTTGAATATATCTCTGACCCATAAATATTTCATGATCTCTTCCTGCACATGAACACTGGTTCAGAGAAAAAGGTTCTACTACTTTTTTATTTTTGTCAGCAAAGGAGAAGAGTGGTGGTAGGGCTACATTAAAGAATGTTGTTTTAATTATCTTGCCATAGAAAAGGGATGCAAAATGAAATAGGAAGAATTACTTTCAAATATCTTGCAGTACACATCGGAGAGGTTATGAACTGCACAACACAAAAGACTACTGTTTTGAATGTATTTTGTTGAGAGTGAAAATAACAGCATGTAGAAATGTAGGAAGAGAGAGCTGAGTTCAAATGCAGTGAAATGCCCTGGTCGTGAATTAAGTAGTGTAAGTGCCGTGCAAAAACACAGTTTGAGCATTGCCCTCAACAGCAAAAGAAGGCAATTTACATGCCATTTACCCAAAAATACAGAATGAATTATATATTTTTTAATTCATCTGCAAGTGGGTTACAAAGAATCAGTACGTGTATAATTCAAAATCATAATCTTGAGAAAAAAGGGGTGTACCCATTCCTGAAGTTAAATTACCTAAAATTGTCTTACAAGGAAAAAGATGGGCAAAAGGCATAGTACAAAAGTTATTTAATTTAAAAAGAGGCTTGAGTGTCTCTTCAGCCGCAAATATTGTTCTAGCATGCATCTCTATACATTATCTGTTTAGCAATTAAATAATCTGTCATATTTGAAAAATATGTTTTAGTTCAATGTACTCTTAATTCTTATTTATACAGTAATCATACAGCTTTATGTTTTACTGAGGTTGCTGTAAACTGTGAAAGGGAAATTGATATATGCTAATGTTTTTGTTTGGAGGAAGTATAAAGCTTAATTTTCCTACAGTACAGATTATCTACTAATTTGTTTTTCTACAACAGAAAGGGTTTACTCTACCAAGATTGAGAATTGCTACAACTCCCGTCATCCCTCATTGCTGGCCATGCTGATCGTACAGTTATACTTAATCTACATTTAGAGGGCTGCAGAATTCACAGCTGTGTCACATCTATCCACTAAATAATTCCATGTCTTTATTGATAATTAGAAACCTTGCTATTGTACAACCATGTCCTTCCAGGTCTTAGCCATTCCCTCAGGTTTTTGTTCCTTTGTAGTACTGTTAATTATGCAATCCCTCTTTCCTACACATTTCTTGCTTGCATTTTCCCTACTGTAGCACTGTATGGTGTACATTATAGGGACATAATGTTAAAAAACTCATGCCTTATCACATCCCACGTTTTAGATATAACATACATATGTAACCTTTCTGTTTTCTTCTATGTCCGTTATCTAACACTAGGTCCCTCTTCTGTACCCCAAACTCCTGTTTAATAGCTATGTGAAAGTTGACTTTTTAATAGGACACAGATGAGCTTCAGTAAGCAATTCATTTTTCTATAACACCTTTAACTTCCCCTGCATCTTCAGATGAAAAAGTGTTTCATCCCATATAGGTTGCTCCTTTTTGCAGATGAAAAGAAATTGGGAAGAATTGAGGGAAGATTTCTTCAAAATAAGGCAAATTTTGAAGAAAGCTTTTCTTAATTCTCCCTTAGTAAAGAGGCTCTGCTGGTTATGTGTTCTTTAAAGTTATTTTACTCTGAGTTAGGATCCCCCCCCCCCCCCCAAAAAAAAAATTCTTTACTGCTAATGAGAAAAAAGAAAGCTAATGGCACAAGAGGGAAATTATCTTTTTCTGTTTTTTGGTTTTATGGCAAAATGAATATATTATGCCTTTTGTTTCCATTTGCTTTTTGGAAGCGGCAGTAAGAAAGTTGGTGCTTCTTGTTGAAGCTCAACTTGTTGCAGGTGGAAAAACCTCCTTTTTCTTTTATCCAATTGAGCCTATTGCTTCCTGAAAAGTCCTGATGGGAAAGAAATTAACAGTTCAAGTACAAATGATTCCTCCTTCTGTTGGACATGGGATGGGTTTCTGGAAAGCATATATTTTTTGGGCTGTTATAACAAGACAAAATGAATTAACACAGTACAGTGTGGTATATTTAATGTAAGATAGTTGTTAACTATTGCTAACAGTGTTGCTCTATAGCCCTTAACTCAGCAAACATGGGCGAGGTTATATTGTGTTCTGGCTGGACCATAATCACTGGCTCAGTCCTCATAGTTTCTTGTATTTATCAAGAATGCTGTGCTTGAGTCTCTTCTACTGACAAGACTGGATAGACCTTAAATTATCCATAAGGGTGGAGCTTCTAGTGTAAGACTGCTTTGATAAAGACTACTAATAAATAGCTGAATTACCTAACTATATTTGCATGGGAATTTTTTTTATTAAGGTTTATTATATTATAAAATACAAATAAAAATTTGAGAAAGTTAGAGAAGAAAAGTGCAGAAAGTTAATTATGTTATATTAATTATATTTGCAAGTCTTCTCTTCTGAAATGGGACATACGGTAGAAGAAGCAGTGCAAGTTTTTTTTTTCAGATATACTTACAGTTTAGCCTGTGGAAAAATAGGAAAGTCTGTTAGGTATGTTTGCCCCCTCCAGTTATTTATAAAAATAATAAAAATGTGATACAAATAAATAAATAGTATTCTGTCCTGCAAGGTGAAAGTCTGATTTATTGAAACAACCCAAACATTACTTCTTCAGAGTTGCTTCAACAAATTATTTCGTGAAGTATTCACCATTATTTTCTTCTGGTATTGGGGAAAAATGGAAATGAGAGTAGAGGGAAGATTAGGGCTTCCTTCAAGTGTATTTACTTCCTGCCTCTTTCTCTGAATAGGTCGAAAGATTTAACACTAGGATAATTCAGTGATGCTTGAATACGACAGCATTGTATATAATGTGAATTTTAGTAAAGGTTATGTAGCATTTAAGTACTTGAAGATGCACAAAGTCAGTCTTAGAAAGTAAGAAATTATGGGAAAGAAAAAAAGTATATCAGATTTCTGGCCCTTTAAATAATATGTTTCCAAGGACAGCCCAACCAAGATTTTAAAAATCCTTGGTGTTTCAAACCCTTGGTTAGACTACTCGTCTAAATAGTCTTCCTAATTATAATGGGAAGTATATTTTTTATTTTGTCATAAACTGTTAATACACCGGTTCATGCATATTTACCCACCAGGTGCCTTGAAAATACTGTGTATATCTATCTTTTCCCTATAAGAGTCTGACAAAGGGTTCCAACAACAAGGATGAAGCCTTAGAAGACTGGAGAGTATGTGAAGCCCACGACAGATTTCAGGATTTGGAATTCTCAGAAAATGTTTTCCCTCCATTAGTTGGTGAACTTCTAAACTTGAATCGCCAACTATCAGGCCTTCCTGTCCCCAATTGACTTGAACTTATGGAGAAAGGTCCCTGAGATCTCCTCTTTCCTTCCACAGGGCAAGCAGGAGGACTTCAAGACGACAGTTCTGGAGGGTATGGAGACTGCCAAGCATCAGGTGAGGGTGGCGTTTGATGCTTGCCACTTAGTAGCAAGAGCCCCCAAATCAGGGATTGATGCTTGCAAGTGCATGTGGGTGGGTGGGCCCAGACTTAATTTGAAGTACAAGGGACATGCATTTGCCTGTTGAAAAAGAAAAGTAAAACTTTATATCCCAGCTGGTGAAGACATTGGGAAAGAAAGCATTCTGAAATTTTTAGGCAGAATTCCCAACCCTCTGCTCTTCCATGAATTCGATGGAAATCAGAGGCGTATGTTTATACAATTTAAAAGGCAGTTTCCCTCCCTCCTTTTAGAGCTGTAGGCCTTTTCCATTACATACTGTAATTCTGCATATAAGTCTCAAGCACAAACAACTCCTTAGTTAGATGCCCCACACTTTGACCAATTTGGCTTACACTTTCTGGTTATATCCCACTGAGAGTTAGACTTATTTTCAAAGAAATATACATAGAATTGTGCTTTTAATTTAGGGATTGATCACAAATCTGTCTTAGTCTCTTGCTTTGACAGCCTTTTTGAGAACTTTTGATACAAACGATAATCTCAGTTCCAGTTCATGCATTCAGGCTAGAATTTTTGTATCTAAGGACAGAAGTGGTCAGTTTAAGGTGTAGATTATTTGTCTTTGGTCTGCTTTTCAGAGCAATTTATCATATGTTTAATTTTTTGAAACCTTACCTGTTTAAGTGAGTGGTTATTTTGGATATACATGCTGAAGAGATTAAAAGTATAGACCGTGAAATAAATTTATTTGGCATGTCTTATTATTTCAAAATATGGATTGGGTTTGAAATTATGAGCAGACAGCTCTGTTAAGTGCTGCAATGAAGAGGAGTTTTGGCAAGTCTGACAAGAATTTAAGGTCCAACTAATAAGTCTTTATGTACTAGTATTAGACATTTTGGGTTTCGGTCATCTTTTTAAAAAGAATTCAAGAAGATGGTATGTATATATGTTCTGAAATTAATTTTATTTATCAATGGTTCTGAATTTGTGATTTTTATTTGTAATCCCTTCCTTGAAATAATTGCCCAATTCTGATGCCCTCCAGATACACTGAGTAACAAATGATCCTCAGTCGTCATGGCTGTTTGGATGGTGGCTAGGAAGAATGAGACCAGTGATGAACATTTGGGTGGCATCAGTTGGGAAATATTATCTTAGACAGCATATCTAGATTTTCCAGCCAAGCTCAGGTACTCGGGAAGCCCTTTATAGCTTAAAAAAGTGAAGTATACTTTTGTATAGTTTTCTAGGCAACTTTGGGAAGGCAAAAATTCCAGTGGTTAATATATTCTTATAGTGGGACCACAAGAGTGTCAACTTCCAATCACTATATTCAAAGTACTGTACATTTGTGTCAGGGACAGAGATGAAGGTTTTTCCCACTAAGCCCTAAATCTTCCTTTGAGCATATTTTCAGTCCACGACTGTGTTTTTATGGCCTGTATTTCCTTTGAAAAGAATACAGTTAAGCTATTAACTTGGAACCCTGACAATTACTTAATTACACTTTGAATGACTTGTGGATTATTTACAGTAATGATATTTTATTTAGCTGTCTTTCTTATATCATTAGGCGGTCATTCTCAGTTGAAATGGGAAAGCTGATCATTCTATAGGACAACATCTAGCAAAAGATGATTTGTCAGACAAATCTATTTTTGTTTGTACAATTGGCAACATCTATCTTACATCCAAGCATTATGTAAATGTCACTACACTTAAATCAAATATGCAGATTTACACTCATACATATAATGCACATTTCAGTTTCTACCTTATAATTTCAAGCTTTTGTCTACAGAAGAGCTAATTATAGAAAATAACATTTGAGAGAGTCAGATTGTTACATGCTATGTCATTATTCAGCTCTTGCATTCATACTGTGGCTATACAGAGCTCTAATATTTGTAAGAATATGCATTATATCAATTGTGTTTCCTGAAGGTATAAGTTGTAGCTGAAAGTGCTGCTGGCAGACTTTTGTGAATAGGAACAATTTATAGAACAGAATGCTGGATGAATTGCTCCATGGATTTGGTCCAGCCTAAAGCTAATTTTGTTTCTATAAAAAAAATCCATTACCCCATCCAAACTGCATTTGGATCTCATGGTTTGTTTTAAAAACTTAAGATTTATTTGCACTTGACGTGTTATGAATATTTAATCAATTTGTAACTGCAGCATGAACATTCCAAGGGCAGTTCAGGATTTATGTTTTGCCCAAAGCAAAAATCCAGCAGGAAGAGAAACATCAGTGCCCTAATTCTCCCATTGGTTGCTGACCGTAAATAACGGGTAATATTAACCCCTACCGCCATTTATGCAACCTCAAGCCTCCATTTATTCAATAATAATTGCAATTATGCACATTTGTGGACCTGTATTAGAGTTTATTATTGTTGTAGATCAAGTATCACAAATGAGCATATGTGAAACCTTAATGCTAGGATTTGTACAGAGATAGATGCTGCTTCAATGTAATCCTCCTATGTTCAACTCTAGTAAGTGCTCAGGCAGAACTGTTTTCTAGTGATACATAAATCATAACTTCTGTTTGCTCCTGTTTTTCCAGTGCAACTAAAATATGAGTGGTTTTCATTCTAAAGTTCTAGAATTCCTCAAGGGTTAGAATTTAAAATATACAAGCTTATATATTAGGCATGTTGGCATCTGATATTAGAAATCTGATATTTCTTTTTCAATAATTGGGCTTAGTGGACACATTTAAAAACGTGAGAGAAGTAGCCCAAAATAGGCTTGGGTTTTTCACCTAGAAGCTAGAAGGTGGATTAAAAGTCTGATTTATATAGCACGTGAGGAGCTTGTGTGACCCTGTCTTGATTGTATCTTGCAAATTATCTTCTTGGTAGCATGCCATAGAAAGATACAATCTTGACTATATTTAAAGGGAGCAGCTGATAAAACATTTCATTCTATTTGAGTGTGGCTAATATTTTAGGCATTCCTGAAAGTAATGGTAGTATGCTTTTATTTTGTGACAGTACTTTTATGTGACAATGAAATCCCAGATCTTTGCAAAACTGCCAACCTCCTCCTTGTCTCTTTTCACCAGCTTATTTTTTTTTAGCATGAGATTCTCCCATGCTATGTATCATATTGGTCATCAAGGGATCTCCAGTATTTTGGGAGATGTCTTCCCCTGCTTAGATTCTTGAAGTTGTCTATGAATGCTCTTCGCCATGTATTTCGAGAGTGTCCTTTGGTCATTTGACATTGGGGGGCGGTCCATCTAATTGCCATCTTGGGAATTTGGTTGTTCTCCATACGGAGTATATCACCTGCAAGTTGGCTGTTGCCCATCACAAGCCCAGATGAAAAAGGAGGAGGGTTGGAATCTCAAGAAATTTAGTCAACCAGCTTACTGGGCCAGCAGAAATTTATAGATAGTCCCCGATTTATGACCACAATTGAGCCCAAAATTTCTGTTCCTAAGCAGGACATTTGTTAAATGAGTTTTTGTCCCATTTTACAACTTTTCTTGCCACAGTTAAGTGAATCACTGCAATTGTTAAGTTAGTGACATAATTGTTAAGTGAACCTGGCTTTCCCATTGATTTTGCTCATCAGAAGATTGCAAAAGTGATCGCATGACCCAGGGACACTGCAACCATCGTAAATATGAACAAGTTGCCAAGTGCCCTAATTTTGATCACATAAGCATGGGGAAGCTGCAATGATCATAAATGTGAAAAATGTCACTTTTTTCAGTGCTGTTGTAACTTTGAACAGCATTAAATGAATCATTGTAAAATGAGGATTATCTGTAGGAGGAAAGGGAGAATTGTATGGGGAAAGAATTAGTGTCACTGTCGAAATGCTTCATCCTAAAACCCAAGCTAAATAAAGGTTCCTTATTAGGTAGGTGTGTCCTGCTGTGAAATCGGTGTCAATCAGTCAATTTTCTGTATCCTATTTGGATGTTAAATGATGTGTAATATTAAAGCATCATTATAGTTCCAAATGTTCCATTTATTCTTTAAAAAGAATAAAAACGGAATAACATGAGAAAAGCAAGTAGAGCTGGAACTCCATTGCATATTATATCTCATTTCCTTTTTCATCATTGGTCTAATAATGCTTGCTCGTCTCAGTATTTAGTGATCCTGAAGATGAAACCATCAATAGGAACATATTCTTGGATTTTTCAAAAGACCATTATGGAAGACCTTTTGCTTCTGCTCCGATGAAGTCTTCTCAAGGCCAAATGCGATCAAATTCAGGCAGCTAGACTATAATTTTAGGCTCAAATCTATGCTTTCCTAATATGTAATTGTCCTATAAGATCAGGAAACATAGGGAATTATTAGTAAAAAGAGACATGGTAGTGCAGTGGTTAGAATGCAGTATTGCAGTCTAATTCTTCTCACTGCCAGCAGTTCGATTCTGACCAGCTCAAGGTTGACTCAGCCTTCCATCCTTCCAAGGTCAGTAAAATGAGCCAGATTGTCGGGAGGCAATATGCTGATTCTGTAAACCACTCAGAGAGGGCTGTAAAGCACTGTGAAGCAGTATATATAGTAAGTATAAGTGCTATTGCTGTTGCTAAAAACGAAGGCAGAATTGGAGGCAGTAGCACCACATATATGTCTTTTATAGAAATCAGTCCAGTCTCCTGATGTGACAAACATATTGGAACAAAGACTTTTAATAAGGTGTTAGAAAGTTTATAATGGGCTAATTTTCTAAAGCTGGAATCAGTGTAATTACACATCTGTGGGCCTAATAATGAGTGGCCAATTACTCTTGCTCTAGAAATTTTTATTGCAGTGGGTGCATAATTGGTGCCATTATAGAACCATAATACAAACTTACGTTTCCAAGTTTGTGGACTTGGAAAGAAAAGGTTGTTAGTTCTTTCCAAACTACTGAGGATTGAAAGAAAGTGTCCAAGTAATTTTTCAATAGAGAATACATTAATTTCCCAAGAGGAATGGCACCTGCCTGGTCTTTTTCAAGAAACAGTTTTTGTTTTGTCATAGCAATTTATGTCTTCTCACTTTATAATAGAAGGCAAATGCTTGGAAACTCTGTTTCGAGCCCACATGAGTTGTCAGGCGGACAGCCTTATCATTAGTATAAAAAAGAAACTGAATCAGGGTTATTGGCTAACTTTGGGAGGATGAAACTCAAGATTTTGTCAAGATGAAAAATGAAAAATGAATATAGAAATTGAAAAAGGAAAGAATCTTTGTTCTACCCTTTTGTAGATGGGAACTGAAAGGGAAAGAAAATAAGCAGTGCCACAGTGGGACAGCATAAATATATTTTCGTGAAAATATTGATTAATAGAGCTGACGGCTTCCACCTTTAAATCAATAAAAACATAACATATTGAGAACCTCAAGGGTAATTGATCTAAAGGTAGTCCTCAGCATACGACCACAATTGAGCCCAAAATTTTTTGTGCTGAGACATTTGTTAAGTGAATTTTGTCCCACTTTACGACCTTTCTTGCCACGGTTATTAAGTGAATCACTGCAGTTATTAAGCTAGTGACACGGTTGTGAAGTGAATCAGGCTTCCTCATTGACTTTGCTTGTCAGAAGGTCGCAACGGGATCACGTGACCCTGGGACATTGCGACCGTCATAAATATGAGCCACTTGCCACACATCTGAATTTTGATCACGTGACCATGGGGAGACTGCAAGTGAAAAACAATCATAAGTCACTTTTTTCACTGCTGTTGTAACTTTGAATAGTCACTAAACAAACTGTTGCAAGTCGAGGACTACCTGTAATTTTGTTTATTTATTATTTATACTTACTTATAATTTCCATTTTTAAGGCCTGTACCCAAACATGAATGTCTTTGTGAAGTATTGCCTGCTGCTTTTAGCAAGCCTCTTCACTTATTAGCAGGATCCTGAGGGATGATTGACTTGGTATACAAATACTTCATTAAGATTGCCGCGTCTGCACGGAAGCTCAGGAGTACATCTGACTAAAGATGTCTAAGACTAGACTGTATGCTGAAGTCTCAAGCTTTTTAATAAGTTTCCTGAGATAAGAATCCTGCTTCTAAGTAAAGTAGGGTAGGTGCACCCTTGCAAAAAAGTGGAATAGGATTTAGGAGGATTGTCATGCATTTAATTAACAAAACTCTGAGATATTGAATTGATTTTCATTGCTCAGATAACCTTGCAGCATTTTCCAAGGTCTCAACCAATAGTTTTAAAGAAAAAGACAAGTTGTATTTAAAAATGGGTTTCAAGTGTATTGTCAATAGTCATTAAAAGATGTTCTTTCTGTGAAAGAGCAAATAAAACATATCTAAGTCTGCCTATTTCTGTAGTTTTTGTACTGTGTGTGTAGCAAGATTTTGTTTTTTCCGGTACTTTTGCGTACTTGTCACATGCTTGTTCTTTCATTGTAGGTGTGGAAGGTGCAGCTTTCCAGAGCAGGCTTCCACACGATCGAATGACATCACAAGAAGCAGCTTGTTTTCCAGATATTATCAGTGGGCCCCAGCAAACTCAGAAGGTTTTTCTTTACATCAGAAATCGAACGGTATGCTGATTATTTCAAGCTCATATACTTTTTTCCCTAGGATGATAAGGTTTTCCAAGTACCGTATTTTTTGGAGTACAAGACACTCCGGACTATAAGACGCACCTACCTTTTTTGGGGAGGAAAACAAGAAAAAAAAAATCTGCCTCTGCCTCTCAGCAATTTGCCTCCTTGCAGCAAACAGCTGATTGTCGGTTGGGTCGGCCTCCTGAAGATCACCTTTTTCAGGCTGCATGGATTGCCATTGTCTATTGCCGCCTCCGCGCACCCCATTTTCCGGGGGGCCAGCGGGTGGGCAGGACTACATTCAGTGTATAAGACACACCCAAATTTTCAGCCAAATTTTCAGTGGAAAAAGATGTCTCTTATACTCTAAAAAATATGGTAGTTTTGCATCTCTCAAGCATGCACTTCGTAGTTTTTGTATTTACTGGATTCAGTATAAAACAGTTTTTTAATACGAATTCTGATGGCACATACTGAGAAATTTCCCTTTGTTAAGAGAAACCATAAAACAAGGAAATCGAAGCCATGTTTTAGCATGTAACTATTATATTCCACAAATGTAGCCACACACATTAAAACTCCACTTCTCTTAATCATTTTCTGTGCTCGCTCTCTTTCCACAGAGTTGAAATTATTTTCTGCTGGCAATTTTGCTTGGTTTTGGTAACACTTTGAAATGAAAAACCTACAGTTCTGTCATTTAATAATAGGGAATGAGTTTGGTCCAGTGGTTAAGGCTCTAGGCTAGAAACTGAGAGATTGTGAGATCTATCCTGCCTTAAGACATGAAAGCCGGCTTTAGGCTAGTCACTTTCTCTTAGCCCAACTTATCTCAGAAGGTTCTTGTTGTAGAAAAAATAGGAAGGAGTATTAGGTACATTTTCTGCCCCGAGTTATTTATTAAAACAATAAAGGTGGGATATAAATAAATATATAAATTCAGCTGAAGATGTGATTTGATGATTGGTGGCTCAAAAGCAAATTAGAAAAAGTATTTTCCACAATAGGGACACAGTGCTGTGGACTTTAAGGGTGCAAATAAACTTAAATTGTTGTTTAATGATGGTTTAAATAAATAAGTCCACCCCTTCCAATGTTTTCTTCCTCTTCTTTGATACTCACAACTTCCTCTTAGCCACCTGGACTTGTGCCTTGTTTGCATTTCCCTTTTTTTTGGGGGGGGGGGGGGGGGGGGGGGGTGTCTTAGTTTTTCTTCCAGTTTCAACTTAGGGTGCCAGTTTATATAATGTACAGTATATATTGCTTTTCTGATCAGTTGCTTTGAGAAAGAAGAAGTGAATTTATCACAAAACTGTTCAGGCTTGGTTCACATGAGCTTTCTCACAGCCCATTCAAGCTCTTCCACTGGAATGATCCTGGGTTCAGGTCAATGAATATTTGGTTTGAAGGCCAAGTTAACTTCTGCCATTGTGGGCTACATGCAACCTCTACCTGAAACAACTTTTTGCGGCCTTGACTATTCTTAAGCAATTTGTTTCCACTTTTAATATTCTACAAGAATACAGGTAGTCCTCGACTTACAACAATTCATTTAGTGACTATTCAAAGTTACAACAGCCCTGAAAAAAGTGACTTGTGGCATCCTCGTGGTCACGTGATCAAAATCCAGGCACTTGGCAACTGACTCATATTTATGACGATTGCAGTGTCCTGGGGTCATGTGATCCCCTTTTGCAACCTTCTGACAAACCAAGTCAGTGGGGAAGCCAGATTCACTTAACAGCCGTGTTACTAACTTAACAACTGCAGTGATTCACTTAACAATTGTGACAAAATGGGGCAAAACTCACTTAACAAATATCTCACTTAGCAAGAGAAATTTTGGGCTCAATTGTGGTCGTAAGTCGAGGACTACCTGTATAGATGGATCCTCGTATTTTAAATCTTTCTTTAATGTTAAATGCATGTAAAATTGCAATGCAAACTCTACATTTAAAATTGTTAACCACCTGTATTAATGTCAGCCTAGATATTGACAACAACATTTTGTGTGTGTGATTAAACACAGTTGCAGCTCTGGTTGGATAACCCAAAGATTCAGCTGACCTTTGAGTCAACACTACAGCAATTAGAAGCACCCTATAATAGTAAGTTGCTGATGTGGGGGATTTGAGTATGTCATAGATAGTTCTTTGACTGGGGGTGATAGAAATTGAAAGAGCTCAAAATAATAACAGCAGAAACACTGAAGCCGAAGAGATGTTTCATATGGCCACATCTCCATTCCAGCTTCTTTTCCTTTGTATCTTCCTCCTGCCATTTTGCCTCTTACCTTTTAACTTACTGATGTTTGTGCTTTGGGCTGTGACATGCTGCCATTTCTGTTCCTTCTATACAGGACGGTACTTATTTCATTCATGTTTTACAAAACCTCTGTTCCAAAACAAGAGATTTTTCATACTGCCTGCAACTTAACAGAGGCCAGTTCTTACATTTGTGGAACTTGTCCCATTTCTGCCAGTTATAGGAACGATCAAAGAGCAGCAATAGGTGCTAATATACTGGCTGCTGGATAGATGACAGACTCCACTTCCCCTCTCCACCCCCACCCCTACCCCCACTTTGCTCTCTGCTCTCTCCCCTTCTATGGCTTTGCTCTCATGCTGGTGTATTCTCAATATTGGTGAATTATTTTTCATTTTCTATTGTTCTATTATTTCACTTCTGTTCTGTTTACACTCTTTTCATTTCTTCCTTTTTATTGTTGTAAACTGTCTAGAATAGCCCAACAACAAGATAGGCAGCAAATAAATGTAACAAATAAATAAATACCACAAATCCCTCTATTTCTTGAGGTTTCACTGTGTCATCAGTTCATTTCCAGACGTTGCTGCTTAGCCTCTCTGTGCTAGCATGTGTGGGGAAAGTAAGTTTTCAGATGAATTGGGACTATTTAAACCAGTGGCGGGTTTCAAAATCTTTTACTACCGGTTTTATGGGTGTGGCTTGGTGGGTGTGGCTTGGTGGGCGTGGCAGGGGAAGGATACTGTAAAATCTCCATTCCCACCCCACTCCAGGGGAAGGTTACTACAAAATCCCCATTTCCTCCCCAGTCTGGGGGAAGGTTACTGCAAAATCCCCATTTCCTCCCAATCAGCTGGGACTTGGGAGGCAGAGAATAGATGGGGGCGGGGCCAATCAGAATTTTTACTACTGGTTCTCCGAACTACTCAAAATTTCCGCTACCAGTTCTCCAGAACTGGTCAGAACCTGCTGAAACCCACCTCTGGTTTAAACCAAATGGAAACATAAAGAATTTGCCATCGCCTTGGAACTGGCTCCCACCTGTCTGTTGTAACACTTATCAGACCCCGTGAGCCCCCTTCTTTTCATCTGTTTTTTTTTTCTCAGTAAGATGATTATTCTGTTTGACATTAAGTAGTAGAAAGGCAGGAAGTAACCCAAGGTCTATTAGTTATGAATAGATTGCATCGTCTAATTAATACTTACAAATATTTATGTCTGTATCTTTTTCTCCCTTTCCTGAAATGTATAAATATTAGTGCATTTCTTTTGTTTGCAGGAGTGACTCGATTTGGTAGGGTCTTTTTTCAGTATTTACGGTTTATATAATAACCACTGCAGTGAGCCTTAATTGTTTGCTTTGGGTCTTGCGTCCTTTTCACACAGGGTTACTGGAGAAAAGGGCTGTTTTAAAAAGTAAAAGTCACGGGTGGACTGAAATATTTGCTTGTGGAGATTTTTAGGGAAAAGGGTTTCTTGGTTTGCTCTACTATGACACTTTTTTCATTAACTCAGTAAATCCCTCTGACCCTTTCTTATTTGTTGGACTTTGTATCGGCTATTAATGTGGAGCAAATGTGTAATTAGAAGCGAAGACTGGAGTGACACAGTCAAGTCCTATCGAAATACACACACACCCCTCTCCATAATGTCCATTAAAAGATATTTTGTTGTTGTAGGTGATACGGTACTTGTCCATCGAGTACATAGCTACCTGGAACGGCATGGCTTAATCAATTTTGGCATCTACAAAAGAGTGAAGCCTCTACCAAGTAAGAACTTAATTTTTTAAAAAAATTTCAAGATATATCATTTCATCTTTTAAGTTAAGGCCAAGTGATTTGTATCATGTGCAAACAGTGCTCTAAAACTGAACACTTTTTCTAGATTCTTCCTTTTTTTCAAAGAAGTAGTTAGGCTCACACATCCTTCTAAGCCATGCTTGTTTTAACATGGTTTGGCACACAGTTTATATTAAATGCCAAACCATTGCCTGTAAAACACTGTAGCTAAATTTGCCTATCAGTAGCTCAGAATGAGACAAACCGTATTGCAGCCAAATGCAGTGCAGATAGCTGAAGGTTTGAAGTTTAAAAGAAAGACAGGCTATTGAATTGATAACTCTACCCACTGAACATGGTTCACTTGTCTCTCAATACTTACATCCCACTTCAAAATAACAAAACAAATATAGTATCCCAGTAGATCAAGCGGCGTGGTTGATCACTTTCGAAATCAGGGAGTGGTCAGATGGCATTAGGGAAGAGCAGGGCAATGTCCAGTTCCTGGGCTTGAGTTAAGCAGCAGGATGCCAGGCTACCAGTCAGGCTGGAGAATTCAGCTCTTGTTTAGGTATATTTTATATTTTATTATGCTTTTATTGCATTCAGAGGATCAGCATTTCTGGAAATCTCTGACCCTTTCGGAAGGATGATGTGTTTAGCTCGTATTCACTCCTTTAGTCAGAAGCCAGTCTCTCTGTTCAAATGCTCCCTAACGCAATAGCACTTCTTGATGTTTCTAGCCAAGAAGACTGGCAAGGTCATCATAATTGGTTCTGGAGTTTCTGGGTTGGCAGCAGCTCGGCAGCTCCAGAGCTTTGGAATGGATGTCACACTGCTAGAAGCGCGGGTGAGTGGGCAATGCCAAAGTGTGTCAACCTTGTAAAAAGTACACTCTTATAAGCCAATTTTCTCCATTAATTGGTGGTGGTGGCGCAATGGTTAAAGTGCAGTACTGCAGGCTACTTCTGCTGACTGCCAGCTGCCTGCAATCTGGCAGTTCAGATCTCACCAGGATCAAGGTTGACTCAGCCTTCCATCCTTCCGAGGTGGGTAAAATGAGGACCCAGATTGTTGGGGGCAATAGGCTGACTCTGTAAACCGCTTAGAGAGGGCTGTAAAGCACTGTGAAGTGGTATATAAGTCTCAGTGCCATTGCTATTGCTATCTTGGCTGGAAGGGCTCACAATGCATAAAGGAAAAGCTAAGATTTTTTGTTCCCCTGCCTAGATCTTCACTTTGCATACTAATTATGTAATTTCCAGTTTCCTTTATTTGTCTTTTACAGAAGTGTAAGAATGAGGCTAAATAACTTCCTTAAAATGGCACATATTGTATGAGGTTTTCCTCTTGCCCAAATTGTAGTATGCTGATACGTTTATAGTGAGGACCCTGAGGTTGTCAGTCTTAAACATTGTGCTTTTTTTTTTTTTAAGGATCGTGTGGGTGGCAGGGTTGCTACTTTTCGCAAAGGAAACTACGTTGCAGATTTAGGAGCCATGGTAGTAACAGGACTTGGTAAGTCTTACCTTGAAAATGTATGTTAATTCAATTTCCACAGTCACATACTTGTGCAAAATATAACCTTTAGGTTTGATATTGGTTTTTTTTCACACAGAATTAGAAGTTGACTCTTTCTAACTTCCTCTTTCCTTGTTCTGTCTTCTCAGTCTTGTGACTTGAGATCTCTATTGCTTTCACATCTGTTCTATATAGTAATAAATCTTCCCAATAAGAAATGAACATCTTGGTTGCAAAGTCTCCCCTTTTGGGCCAGATAATTTGATTAAAGCTCAGAATGTACTGCATCTTAGCACATGTTTTCTACAACCCCACTGCTTTTGCAGTTGTCAGAGTTCAGCTACCATTGGCCATCCTGGCTGGGATGCTAAGAGTTGCAACTTAGCATGCCTGGAATGTTCTGGTTTAGGAAAGATTAAACTAGTCAATTCTCTTACAGGAAAAAATATGCAAAAAAGCCTAAGGAAGACATGACTACGCCACTTCGTGCCCAGTACACAACATACATGTTATCTAACTTTTGATTAAATGCTTGGCTTTGATCATTATAGCTGTAGGTACTTCCAGATTTTGAGCTCTTGTTTTGTTAAATTTATTTTTTCTCTGCAGGTGGAAATCCAATGGCTGTGGTAAGCAAGCAAGTAAACATGGAATTGGCCAAAATAAAACAAAAATGTCCACTTTATGAAGCCAATGGTCAAGCGGTAAGTCTAGTTATTTTTGGAAAGCAATATTGAGGAAATGGTTTAGTTGAAAATACTATAATCTTTTGACTGGGTGCAAGAGTCTTTGCCAAGGTGGTTTCCAGTGTTAAACTCCCTAAATTTCCATGTTGCATGCAAAGAGCAAATATTTTCCCTAATAATGTTTAAGTTTGAACTAAATGTTATTCTCATATCACATGCATTTTAGGAGCTGATATATTATTTATTTATTTATTTATTTATTTATTTATTTATTTATTTATTTATTTATTTATTTATTTATTTATTTATTTATTTATTTATTTATTTATTTATTTATTTATTATTGAATTTCTATACTAAATCTTCTATATTAAATCTGATGTTGGAAATGGCTGGGCCATAGTAACTTTCTGAACCTCAGTGATTATTTAGTCATAAAACAGAAGTTAAATCTTACGCAAGTCATTCTATTCTGAATGAGTACTAAGAATAGGTTTCTGGCAGGGTTTGAAATGTTCATTATATGGAAAATGCCCCTTTAGGTTAAGGGCTTGATTTAACTTCTCCATTTTGAACTATCTGCACCTGTTTACTTCCCCTTGCTAACCCACAGGTTCCAAAGGAAAAAGATGAAATGGTAGAGCAAGAGTTCAACCGTTTGCTAGAAGCTACCTCATACCTCAGTCACCAACTGGACTTCAATGTCCTCAACAACAAGCCTGTTTCTCTTGGTCAGGCCTTGGAAGTTGTCATACAGTAAGTAAAGCTAAATGTCACATCAAGTGACGTGCCAAGTGTTAAGTCTCCATCCAAGTGCATCCATGTTGTGGTGGTGGCACTGTGCGTTACAGCCTCGCACACAGCACATTATGGCCTAGGTGCTGATAACAGCTTCAAATTCCTCCTTTTTATGCCTCCATAGTTCATTGGCTTCTTCTGTTTCATTTTATTGCACTTTTTTTTTCTACCTTGAGAAGATTGAATAACCAAACGTCTTGCACGCTCTGGAGAGAATTGGCATATTTCCGTGTAGTTTTCCTCACTGAACTATTGCTAAAGGTTGCTGTCTTCTTTCCTTTCCATAGATTACAGGAGAAGCATGTCAAGGATGAACAGATAGAACATTGGAAGAAGATAGTGAAAACTCAGGAAGAACTTAAAGATCTCCTTAACAAGGTTAGCATTGTTTTGATGCATGACTTGCCACCGCTTTTTTAATGGAACTCCAAAAAAGTTAGGTTACTTTAAAAAATATTGCCAGATGGTGTTGTGCCTATACTTGTGCAAAATCCAAAGTACTTTGTTTGAAATCATCTTTGAAGTTTGCACAGTCCTAGTATTTGTGAATGCAGATTAACCAGTGCATTAAAAAATGGGCTTCAGTAAGTAAATGATTCTGCATCGTCTGTTTTTATTTGTATTTGGCTTCAGTTTAAAAAATCTTAAGATTTAAAATTTAAAAACGTTATCCTTTTCCTTAAAATTCCGCAGAGGTCAGGAAATGCTTTGCTTCTCTCCATTGGCCAATGATTTCCCTCCCTGTTACAGATGGTAAACTTGAAAGAAAAAATAAAAGAGCTTCACCAACAATACAAAGAAGCTTCAGAAGTAAAACCACCTCGAGATATTACTGCAGAATTCCTTGTGAAGAGCAAACACAGAGATCTTACTGCTCTTTGTAAGGTATGAAGTAGAGGGTCTAACTGGCTATTATTGAAATGTCTAATTTAATTTACACTATTCTGTACACTTAATAAGCGATTTCTACAAATGCTCCCTTTTAATAATCATCTCCATATTTGTGTCCTTGCCTTATTTTGTGATTAGGAGTACGATGAGCTAACCGAAACACAAGTAAAACTGGAAGAGAAGCTCCAGGAACTAGAAGCAAATCCTCCAAGGTAAAATCTTATGAAGGAGACTGGATGTTTTATGCTGATGGTCAAATAGATCAATGAACTAATTGCAAAGGGAGACTACATTGATGTTTAATCTACAAGTACATTAATAAATTGTGCTACAATTATAATGCCGATAAATGCAATCAGAAGAGTTGCAGATTCCTTTGAAGAGGAAGTTTGCACTTCAATTCAAATGCAATGAATTAAATTTTAAAAATTGATTTTTATCTCATGTGAGAACTCCCTTCTGTAAAATTCTCTCCTACATGGTCATCTTGCTAGGGAATAGCAATGAAGAACTAATCCAGTACTCAGATTTCTTGCCAGTATTATTCATACTAATTCATAAAGAATAAGAAGTTTTTAATATAGGTGGCCCTCCTTTAGCAGTTGCCTCATTTAATAATCATTCAGTTACATAACCATTTTATGGCCAATCCTCTTATTTACAATCTACAGATTAATCTCTATTGCCTTGCAAAATAATTAAGAACATTTTTTAGATTAGCTTTGGGTGTAGGAAATTTAAGTAACACTGTTAAAAGTTTAAGGAAGAAAAAATGATGAGAGCATATACTCAGTGTTTTGTTTTGTTTGGTTTTGTTTCCTCTCAAAAATGTGCAGCGATGTGTATTTATCTTCAAGGGACAGGCAGATTCTTGATTGGCATTTTGCAAATCTTGAATTTGCAAATGCCACACCACTTTCCACTTTGTCATTGAAGCATTGGGACCAGGTAACTATTCTTTTCCCTCCCCCCCATTCTAAAATTTCAATGGGGCTAAATGAATAAACACAAATGTCAGGGGAATTGAAGCATTCTCCACCACTGAAGTGTACAAGTGATACAGCGAGTAACAAGGCTAAAGCTAAAATTCAGAAAATTCAGCCACAGGTCTGCATGTGCTGCACTAAATTGAACTGATCTTGCACAAGCAATCCAAAAGGAAAAGTAGGAAAATGAATACTATGATGACTTTTAAACATTAGATGTAACTGGCCTGAAGAGCTATTGTCGTAGCCCCCACATAGCTATTCTCCATCAGCAAATTCAAATTAGGGGCAGAAAAAACATCAAGTGATAAATACTATAATTTACTTGATAAATACTTCTGAATTTTTACAGGCGGGTACAAAATTTAAAAGGAACATGGAGGGGAAGAGAAGACAAGTAGAATCACTCTCTTGTTTGCCAAAACAGGAACGACTATCCTCTTAATGATGGAAAGCTAGGGGAGGAGGGATTGAATTGGGCAGTCCCCACAATTTCTGAATGTTGGGAGACTCAAGGTTGGAGAAAGTTTGACCTGGACTCTGTAACAACAGATAGATGGACTTCTTCTCCTATTGGCTGCCTATATTCAAGCAGTATCCTTTTGGCCTGTCACCCATGGAAATTATTCACTTCCTTTACCCCTAAAGAACATGGAACAATATGAGGGAGAAATTACTGACTTGTTACAAATGCTTTGTACTGATGGGTTTTCTAAATCTTCTCCCCCCATTTCAGGATGATGATTTTGAATTCACAGGCAGTCATCTGACTGTGAGGAATGGCTATTCTTGCGTGCCTGTGGCTCTGGCAGAAGGATTAGATATCAAACTGAATACAGCCGTTCGGCAGGTTCGCTATACCGCTTCAGGTAAGCAAAACTTAAGAGTTCTCTCTGATTATCCTGTTGGCTCAAATGCCTCTTTTGGTATTGTCTTCAGGCAAAGAGCCCTGGCTGGATTTGAACACATGTTCACACACAATTTGTCAGTACTCGGAGGTTGTATTTTCTATGGTTGCAAAACTGATATACAAACCTGTTTTTCTCATGGATCTCCCAAAATAAATAAATGCAAAAAAGGGAACGGTCAGATAATGGATGCACGTATGGATGCAAAATTAATATTGAATAGACTAAAGTATTTTTATTTATGGTGAATCAATAAGTATTAGCAAAAAGTAAGAAGTCTGAAATAGGCCAACTTGTTTGCACAGGAAGTCAAGATGTGCAGGTAAAATATGGTGCACTTGCTTGGCATTATTGAAAGCTTAGTAGGAAGTAAGAGGTAGAATTAGTAGAAAATAATAAAACTTCTGAAGTGGTTTTAGACAAGGATAATCAGGGACGCAGTGGCTCAGTGGCTAAGACGCTGAGCTTGTCAACTGAAAGGTCAGCGGTTCGAATCCCTAGTGCCGCATAACGGGGTGAGCTCCCATTACTTGTCCCAGCTTCTGCCAATCTAGCAGCTTGAAAGCATGTAAAAATGCAAGTAGAAAAAATAGGGACCACCTTTGGTGTGAAGGTGACAGCATTCCGTGCGCCTTTGGGGTTTAGTCATGCCAGCCACATGACCACGGAGATGTCTTCAGACAGCGCTGGCTCTTCGGCTTTGAAACAGAGATGAGCAACGCCCCCTAGAGTCGGGAACGACTAGCACATATGTGCATGGGGAACCTTTACCTTTACCTTAATCTGGTTCCAATGGGACAGGCATTTTTGGCTGAAATAAGGAAATCAAATCAGGTTTAAATCTTTGCAATGCCACAGTGTTGTATTGGTCAAGTCACATGGAAAAATTGTCAACTAAAAGAACTCTAGATGGGAATCATGGCATTGAGAATTGGTAGAATTAGAAACCATTTAATTTTTAGAAGCAATGAACTGAAAACAGAGAGTCACTTAGGCACTTAATTCAGCCATTTATTCTCCCTCCATCATTTCCTCACATGACAGTCTCCATTGTTTCACTAGGATGTGAAGTGATAGCTGTCAATACTCGTTCTACTAGTCAGACTTTTATTTATAAGTGTGACGCCGTGTTGTGTACCCTTCCCTTGGGAGTGCTGAAGCAGCAGCCTCCAGCAGTCCAGTTTGTTCCTCCTCTTCCGGAGTGGAAGACATCAGCTGTACAGAGAATGGGATTTGGAAACCTTAACAAGGTAATATGAAAAGCACAAAGACTGTTTATTTAACATAACTGGTCAACTTGTGGATGGTCAGCGTGACTATGCTTGCGGTCTTATCTGTGAAAAAGGCAAAACACCTTTATCAATACCTGAAGTATTTTCTGCAAGAATAAAAAAGGCATACCTTTTCTGAAGTTCTGTCATCTGTTAAACCTAAACTTAAATTCCTAAAGTAGGAATACTTTAATTGCCGTTCATGTTTTCCTCCTTTGCTTAATAGGTTGTTCTGTGTTTTGATCGCGTGTTTTGGGATCCGAGTGTGAATTTGTTCGGCCATGTCGGCAGTACAACGGCGAGCAGAGGAGAGCTTTTCCTGTTTTGGAATCTTTACAAAGGTAGTTGTGTGAAGGCGTGTAACACTCATGTTCCAAGGAGCAAACTTGAATCCCTGAATACATAAGGTCCCATACTGGGATTCTAAACTAAGTGCTCAAAGTCCATAAAATGTTAAACATTGATACCTGTTTAAAGATTGAGTACAAATTTATTGAGCTTCATTTTAAGAACTGTAGAGCCTGCAAACCTGAGAAGTTTGAAGTGGCAGTAAATTTAGGACATGCAAGGGAGGTCTTCAGGTTGCATTGGCCTCAACGGAAAGAAACAGAACTATATTAAGTGAAAAGTGGTTTCTTGATCCCTGAACAACTTTCATTGGCTCCCTGACCCTCCATAACTGGGAACACCAATGTCAGCCAATGTTTCAGTATGCGCTTTTGGCATAGTACAAGAGTTTTTCTTAAATCTTTCTTTTTTGGGCAGACCTGATTGAACAAAATAGATCTAAGTTTAGCTGCTTTCAAGTCATTGGCCTATTTGGCATCATCATAAGACCACCTTAACTTCAACCGTTTACATGGCTAGGAAATCTGTTTCATTTCTCGGCTGTTTGCAAACATTCACAAGGTGGGTGGAGTTAACATCTCTTGGACTTGCTCTCTGTTAATGCCCCATAAACTTCTTTCCCTAAACAGCACCAATCCTTCTGGCTTTGGTGGCAGGAGAAGCAGCAGGAATTATGGAGAACATCAGCGATGATGTCATTGTTGGACGCTGCCTTGCTATCCTCAAGGGTATTTTTGGCAGCAGCGCTGTCCCCCAGGTATTGTATCCTTTATAATGCAGAAAGTTCTGTGTGATGCGTAGCTTAGAAGCCTTTTGCCTACATGGTTCCCCGTCTGTCTATCATAGCAAAGCACTGCAGCGTCTTTCAAGGGATATAGCAATATATACCGCTTTACAGCCCTCTCTAAGTGGTTTACAGAATCAGCCTATTGCACCCAACAATCTGGGTTCTCATTTTACTGACCTCAGAAGAATGGAAGGCTGAGTCAACCTTGAGTCTGGTGAGATTCAAACTGCCAAATTGCAGGCAGGCAGCAGAAATAGCGCGCAGTACTGCATTCTAACCACTGCGCCACCGTGGCTCATTTGCTTCATCAACACAGCCAACTTTGCATAGCCTTAATCTTCTGAGATGTATAATATAAGACAGGCAGGGACTGGTTCGAAAAAGTTATTTTGATTTCACCACCCTCTGCTATCAAGTGCAAAGAGTTCTCCGGGGCTGGGAATTCCCTTCTCTACTTCATGTTTTATGGATCTAAAGAAAAGTCCTGGTTGTGGAATAGTCCATATTTTAAATGGTTTAATACCATCCTCATTGCTATATGTTGTTAATCTGACCAGTTTTGGGGTTTTAGAGCAAGAGGAAAGTGAAAAATCCCAACAGCCCATGATTATGGCTTGGCAAATGTCTCCTTTCCATTTTGCATTCTTTGTGAAGGAGGTTGTTGACAGCAATCTTACCCCATTGCTTGTCCTCTCTTGGATGTTAAGGAATCTTAAACCTTTTGTGTAGGAACCTCAGAACTTTTCAGGTTTTTGCTGCTTGCAAGACTTCTACATTTTGTTGTAAGCTTGATTTGCCTATCCATTCTTACCCAACCCTTATCCCAAGGACTTCATAAAAGCCTTACTTTGGCAGCGTTCCCATTGAATTTCTCTTCTGCTTCTCTCTCAGCCCAAAGAGACGGTGGTTTCTCGATGGCGGGCTGATCCCTGGGCCCGAGGCTCTTATTCCTATGTAGCAGCTGGTTCTTCAGGAAACGATTATGATTTGATGGCTCAGCCAATTACTCCTGGACCAGCCATTCCAGGAGCTCCCCAGGTGAGTCTAAAACATCCTTTTGAAGAATAGCCAAGTTTAACCATATGTTGCTAGGATGTGACTAGCATAAGGAAGCCAGCAACCAGAATTATGCTTAATTCTGGCACTTCCAGTGAGGTATTTTACTTATTTGAAACAGGTGCAGATTTGCTTCTTTACGTGGCTAATAGTTGCCATAAGGGGAGGTGAAGTTGCCTTTAGGGTTTTACCTCAGTTTCTCTTCAAGAGAGTCCACATAGCCCTTGACTTAGGACCACAACTGAGCCCCAAACTTCTATTGCTAAGCAAGGCAGTTGTTCATTTTATTTATCAAATTCCTTGGCCACTTAAGTGAGTTTTCCCCATTTTATGACATAGTTAAATGAGTCACTGCAATTGTTAGTGAATCATGTGGTCATTAAGCGAATCTGGTTTCCTCCATTGACTTTGCATGTCAGAAACCAACTGGGAAGGTCACAAATGTCGAACACCAAGATAGTGTAATTGTCATAAATACATGCCACTTGCCAAGGGCCCAGATATGATCCCATGACTGTGGGAATGCTGCAACCGTCATGTGAAAAACAGCTGTAAGTCACTTTCTGGAATGCTTTTGTAACTTTGAATGGTCACTAAATGAAGGGTTGTAAGTTTAGAACTACTTGTACTGTTTTCTACTTGAATCCTTGGATCAACTTCCCCCTCTTCCAACCATAACAACTTTTGAGTTCATATTAATTAGATGCAGCCAAACTTAGGGTTGCCTTGTCCCTAGAAGGCATCTGGACCCTGCTCTGCAAACTTATAATCCGATTCTCACAACACTCCACTAGAAGATAGTGAGCTGGGTAATTTCTGTGTTGGGGAAAACCCAGCCATTGCCTCATACTGTATGGATCAGGCCATCATGCTAAACAGCCGTGTTTTATGTATGTATTGCAACCGTGTTTTGTTAAGTAAGGGGGACGGGGTTTGAATGAACTCGGGCATTAAGGAGTCAAGGAATTATGCCATGTGGGAACAAAGAAAGAGATTGTACTCACATGGGGCCTCTAGGAGTGCTGTGTTAGTCTATGATGGCAGAAAAATTAGGTATTTGGTGACATCTTTTCCAACTAACAAACATTTTATTAACTGGCATCAGCTTTCATGATTTGTAACTCAAATACACAAGGTGGCTAGAGCAATATTTCTCAGCCTTGGTGACTTTAAGGTACGTGAAGTTCAACTTCCAGAATTTTCCAGCCAGCATGCCGGCTGGGGAATTCTGGGAATTGAAGCCCGTGCCATCTTCAAGCTGCCAAAGTTGAGAAACACTGGGCTAGACTAATGTAGAATTTAAGGCTTTGCTGTAGGGCTCTGGGTAAATTCCAGAAGGAAGATGGCAGGCTGAATGTCTGTCATCCTGGGGAGGCTGACGTTTGTTATTTGGTTTGGAAGCCAGTTATGAGTCCCCACATCTTCCAACCATGCTTTCAAAAGTTTCTGATCTCATCATGTTTCAAGGTTCACCATTATCGTTTGCTAAATTTAAAATCTCATTTTTGTATCAGAGGAATATTATTTTCCTTTGTCTTCTTCATCTGTGAAATAAATGTGTGACACAACTTTGCAATTCTTATTGCTGCTTCTGCAAAATTTGCAAATTATTCTCCCATCTAGTTTCCATTTCTGGGGACTTCACTAAAAACAAAACTGCCTGACCATCTTTATTTTACCAGAGCCCCATTACCTTCCTCAGAGGGTCTCAAGTCATTGCCCACTGCTCTTTTTCCCCCCCAGCCAATTCCTCGTCTCTTCTTTGCTGGAGAACATACAATTCGTAACTACCCAGCGACAGTTCATGGAGCGCTGCTAAGTGGCCTAAGAGAAGCTGGGCGTATTGCAGACCAGTTTCTTGGTGCGATGTACACTCTCCCTCGCCAAACGACCCCTGCGGCAACAGCACAACAGACACCTCCTATGTGAAGATGCCAATGCTAGAAACGGTGCAGTGGGCTCAGAATCCTTGGCATGGACTGTTACAAGCAAGTGGAATTGTGTTCTGTAGCACTACCCCTTGGAGGGCTTAATCCAGAAGTTGGAAAACATCTGACCCAATGGAGAAGCCCTTTGAAGGTATCCATCATTTGAAAATGCTGCTCTCGATTTGCCAGCCCAATTCAGGCCCACCAGAGTAGTGTTCATACTACTCAGAAAATAAACTGAGCCTCTCTCTCTCTCTCTCTCTCTCTTGAGTTGGAGCATTTTAGGTACATATGTGGTTTTGGTTAACTTTCTTCCTATGGTTCTTGTAAGATAGCTGTTAGTAATTAAGGTAAGTTCGTTTTACATGGATTTGGCTTAGAAAGCAAAAATAAAAAATAAAATCTTTTTAATTTTTTTTTTAAAAAACTCCCAATGTGTTTTTTTTTTTGTTTGAGGATGGCATGCTATTGTGTTGTGGGGTCATTGGTGCTCTCCGAGTCTGGTTGTTTTCTTGCAAACATTTCATTATCCAATGAGCACTGATAATATTACCTAGTTGGGTAATGAAACGTCTGCAAGAAAGAACAATCAAGCTCAGAGGGCCCCACAGTTCAACCTTGAGCTACAAATAGTCTCTTCTATTGGGTCTCCTTTGTTGGTTTAAAACGTTAAAAAAAAAACTCCAACTATGGACCCAATATGTTGCACGGAAGGAGCTGGATTTTCTTTCCCCGTGGAAAAAGCAAAAGGACTTTTCTGTTTCACAAGTTGCATTAACATACAAATAATTTTATTGATTATGTACTGCAGAACAGATAGCATTAGTCAGAAGATAACATGCGGACAAAAAAAATGTATTTAAACATAGCATGCAGACTCATTGCTCTGTGTAACCGGCAGGTTCCCACTGCCTGCTGTCCAGTGCATAGGCGAGTTTGGGAGGTGAACGAATGGGGAGCCTTTCCCCAGCCAGCATGCTAGTACTCGAGGGCTTCCTTGTGGGTCAGGGGGAGCATGACCTGGATAGTGCTGGTCATTGGCTGAGCATGTGGCGGGCTGGGAGCCGAGGCGCTCGAGTGGGCTTAAATTGCACTTGCTTTTTTTTTTTCCCCTTCCCCTTCCCCTGAAAAGGAATAGAAGGCAGGCGATGCCCATCTGCCTTAGAACACATAACATTGTCTGGCTTCTGCAGTCCCTTTTCCACCCCGTCCGGACATTTAGCAAATAGAAAAAATATATTTTCATCTCTTAAAAATACATTCCACAGAAGTTGAAGGATTCTCAAGTGTTTCATACGGCAGGAAGACCAACATGCCTCTCCCTTTGTGCAGGTATGGAAGGCGGATTTGGGGCTTCCAACAGCCACAAAAAAAAAAAAAAAAGTAATTCCTTTGGTCTCTAACCAAGAAGACAAAAGAAGGGGAGAACTTCTGCACAGCAGTCTCTCCCTGCTCTTTTCCTTCGTTGGCCATCAAGTTGGGCTTTAACTAGAGCAGCAAAACGCAGCCTCCTCATTACGTAAATGTGAGTGGGCAAGGGAAGGGGCATCATTTCAGTGCTTCAGGGGCACTGCCCTTCTGCTGCATACATACATGCGGGGGGGGGGGTCTTTCTGACCAACCCTATGGCTAAAACCCTAAGTTCTTGGCACTCAGATATCGGCATTTTATCACTAAGTCAGTCTTGCCTCTTAATGGCATGCTGAAGTACGAAACGAAGTATGCTGAGTACTGTCTACTCTGGCTGGCAGCAGCTTGCATACAGTCTCAGGAAGTCAGGACTTTGTGCATACAAAACTCTGATTGGTCAACAAAATGCCTGGCTCTCGGATCAGAGCTGCAATGTTGCTTCAGCAGTGATAGGAAAGGAGCAAGAACAGGTCATGTCCTTGTTAAGAAGCTCCTGGTGGGAGAAGTTGCATGTTTTTTAAGTTTCTTGAGTTAAAAGAAAGAGAAGAAAATTCACGTGCATCAAATACAATTACAATGCTGCATTATTTTTTGTTCCTTTTTTTAAAAAACAACCCACAATTTTTCAGCATCTGAAAGTCTGGGGGTGGGGGAAGGGGATTCCCTATGGTAGTTACATCTTACAGTTTAAAACACAAATTAATTAATTCACCCCAAACATTGGCAAAATATTTACAAATACACTTTACAGTTGTTTTTCGATAAAAGTGTGCAAGCTGAGCCAATCTTCATGAAATCCTCACTTGTGTTCACAACTACAATCAGCTCTTATTGCACCTCAGGGTTAGCCATTTTGTAGGGTTTAGAATCCTGATTTTACGCAGCCATTCACTGAATAACCCGCCTTCCCCTCTCTGGCAATAAGGATTATTTATTGCTTTACATCTAGTTTAATATAAGATTATTGATGGGGAATTGCGAAACTGAGAATGGAAAGTCGATTCCCTGATATATAACAGCGAAGACATGGTCTTAATATTTAATTAGGGGAAATACATTTCTTCTGCAGAATCTGATTTCTGCCTGTCCCCCCAAAATCCCTAATAAGGATTAATACGGTAGCTATCAATTCAATGGATTTTGTAAATACAGAGAGCAGAAGAAAACAAGGACAGATTTATGTCCCAAACCGGTCTCAGAAAAACCTACTCTTCTTCCCAGCTGTTCAAGTATATGCTAAAGTAGGGGTGCCCAACCTTGACCACTTTTAAGACCTATGGATTTCAATTCCCAGAATTCCCCAATCAGCTGGCTGGGGAATTCTGGGAGTTGAAGTCCACAGGTTTTAAAAGTGCCCAAGCTTGGGACAACCCTTGTTCTAAAGCCTATGAAACTGAAAGAGATCATACCCACACCCCCAAAATAAAGACTGCAGTAGTGAGCCAGAGCTGTTGGCAACTTGATAGAGCTAGGAAGGAAGGAAGAACTGAGAGGGTCTCTACTAGGGGTATACAGAACACTTATACTGGGGCTTGGAGAAATTACCTGAAGACAGCCCATTTTTCACTAGTGAAAGCTACACATTTCTGAGGTTACAGAGCTAACTGAAGTAATCTTGGAGGGGGAAAAGAGATTGTCTCTGCCTTGTTGAGTTGAAAATTAACCCTTTCAGGGGCTGTGTTTGCATGTCATAGTAAACTGACATGAACACGTTGAACCTGGTTCCCGAGTTAAGCTATTTTCTGCATTTGGACAATGCACTGAACCGTAATTTAATCCAGGGGTTTGCAAATGGGAGTTGGGCCAGCCCAGTAAGGAAAGGATTCACATCTTTTTAGAAAAAAGAGAATTATAATCTTTTTAACAAAATCAGTCTAGCACAGGTAGACGGATTAAAATTTATTCTGCACCTTTGCTCTTCCCTTCCTCTGTATGCCGCAAAGTTTATGACTGCCTCTGGTATGCGGGCTGACAATAATTCAAAGTAAGCGGAACATTTATTTCTTGCTGAACCCTACCCTCAAGTTAAATCAATTATTGGGAGAGGCTCTCTCAAAAAATTCATTTATTGTTTTTAGGAAATCACTGAAAAAATGGAAAATCCCTGAACTTGGATCCAAAGAGACTTGGATCACACAACACCCTCAGCCCAACCAACCACCATCAAGTTTAAGACTAACTGAGCTTTGCATACCACTAAATGGTGCTAAGCTTTGCATAATTGACTGGGTTAAGTTATCTAGTGGGGCTGCGGTTGATGAGGTACGAATGAAAATGACCACATGTTAGCCTACAATGTTAGCTGATTGAGGAACAGTAACACCTGAAATTCGGTGGCTAAAAGGAATATGCTTTAGGGAAGGAATTGAAACACCCTGTAGGAACCGGAGTCCTTAGAAAGAGAGTTAAATGCTGCAATTCCCGCCTGGCACTGCAGCATCTCTGACCCAATTGAAGGAATGGCTCAAATAGCAGCAGAATCATTGCAGGTTTAATTTTCAAGTAGCCTGAGATCAAGAAGAATGGAACTGTTTAGATCATGTTTTATACGCTAAAGTGCTTTTTTTAAATGCATGGTGGAATGGCTTCTTTTGGGAGGGATGGGGGGGCTGTTTAAAAAAAACATCCTTTTTGGGGGGGATTAATCCACAAGCCTCATCTTATTACTAGATCAGGCACTCAAAGAACACACACACCCAAAAACCCCTCATTAAAATGGCTACTACAGGTTGGTTTACCACACAGACCAAATAAGACTTTCATGTAAACTTGGCACCCATCAATGGACACAAATCGATTTAAGTTTTTTTTTCCCCCCTTCAGTCCCCACCCCCACCCCCACCCCCATTCCCACAAGCTGGAAGACTAGCCAAAAATTGGAGAATTAAAAATAGTGTTAACATTATGGACAACCATCCAAAAAGTGCTGGAACGTGAAATAAAGGCTTATTAGATCTTTAAAAAAGAGGGGCAAAACTTGGCAACCACTCTTTTGTTGGTATTCCATCAAAGGCTGAGCCGGTAACTTAGTAGGGATGTGACGTATAACTTCAGAATTGCCTTTAGCCAATTGAAGTAACCCTGGTTATGCAAATACAAAGCGCAGAAACGTAGTTTTGGAAGGAAGGCATTCGGTCTCTGACGACCTCCTCAGATTTCCCTTTATTTTGCTACAAGAACCAGCACTGACACCCTTTTTATAAGCCAAACCAGCAGTAGGTTGCCTCAGATTCATGTCTGAATCCCTAGCAGATGGTAACCCACAAAGGTTCCTTAACATGCCTTAGGCTTCCTAGACTTTTTGCAACAAAAACCGAAAACCTCTGCACCTCCTTTTATTCCTGTTGCGCTGCAGAAAACGTGACATGCAAAACGGGAGAAGCTAGGAGCTTCCACAACGAGCATCGGTTTAGGTTCAAAATATTACAAGGTAAAGAGATAAATGCTCTTCGTGGTTCCAGAACCTGGTTAGTGTTGAAACCCTCAAAGGCTACCTAAAAGGCTGGTTTTTCAACAGCAATGAAGGAATGACAACACTTGGTGGTGGTCCTATGACATGTGCCCCCACCTGGGGCCCCGTTCTGGTCATGCATGACTTTTTAAATAAAGTCTGATTGTGTTATTCAAATCCTTGTTTGACGTAAAGCAGAACTTTGTACATGCAGCATACTCTGGCTATAATCTCCTGTTTCTGTAAGTCTTAACATGCTAACAACTCCAGGCATGGCTGCCACAGGAAGTCCAAGCTTTTCATTAAACTCGTATGCGGTGGGAGTAAGATGGCAAGGAACACAAGCACTTATCTATGAAAGAGACACATGGAGATGTGGGCTCTTTTCTCTTGAGCAAAGATATTCCAATGGAATTTCCTCTTCTGTATGGTTGAATAGGGTGACTTAGGGGGCCCTGCTCTAAGCTAGGGACTCCAAACTTGGCAATTTTAAGACTTACGGACTTCAACACCCAGAATTTCTCAACCAGTTGTGCTGGCTAAGGAATTCTGGGAGTTGAAGTCCACAAGTCTTAAAGTGCCAAGCTTGGAGTCCCTAGCTTAGAGCAGGGCCCCCAAACATTTTCATTCATTACCCAAAACTGCTTATCAAAAAGCCTTATCAAACTTTTGAGGACCTGTTGTAACTCCCTCCAGCACCATTGTAACTTCGAACCGTCACTGAATGAATGGTTGTAACTCGAGGACTACCAGTATTATACAAAACAATGATCACTGAATGATCATTTCAGCAAATGATTACCAATTGTAATTTTATCAACCTTCGTCTTAATAGGGATGCTTTGGGAGATTTTTTTCGAATATATTTTAGTGCATGTGGCAATCTTAAGTCAATCCAAATGTCCCTATTCTGATTGGCAATGGGGTCGTGTGTTGTTGCCCAAAGGAAAAAAACCAGTTTTGCTCAGTTTTGGGTAATGTCCTCACATTTGGGAAGCACTGGCTTAGAGGGAGGCAAATCTTGTTGAAGTGCACAGTGCTACATCCTGAGGCCTAACACCATCAGACAGCCATCAAACGATTTTGGAGGAAGAGATGGTAGATGGTGACAATAGGCAATGATTGACAGTGAGGAGCTGATGGTAGGTGATAGTTGACAGTGAGGAAGCGACAACGGATACAATTCTCCCCTCTCCCCCCCCCCCCCCAAAAGACAGCTACTACCGTGTTTCTCTGAAATGAACCTCCCCCGAAAATAAGCCCTCCCCGAAAATATTTAAACGCATGCACAGCCAGTCCCCGCCATTTCCACTGGTTAGGTTTAGGGAGACAGAGCTAGAAATCAGGTAAGACTGCAAGAAGAGCCCCGTCTTGCTCCATGCGCCCCAAAATAATAAGACCTCCCCAAAAATAAGGCCAAGTGCTTATTTCAGGGTTCAAAAAAATATAAGACAGGGTCTTATTTTCGGAGAAACACGGTGTGCATCTGAAGCAGAATGACAGCAGAAGGAATGTAAGACTGTTCCGGGGTGTGGGGGAAGAGAAAGTGACCAAGTCTGAATATAAACCTGGTTTTGAATGCCAAGAAAATCAACTCCATGTTTGCTTCCCAATATGTGGGTGAAAACAACTTGCAGGAGAACACAGGAAAAGGAGAAACAAGATACCCACAAATTCTCACCCCTCAAAACTTCCCCATGTTTGCTCCCAGCTATCCAGACAACACAAGCTTTGCAGGTAGTAGCAGGTGAGGGAGGTGTGCAGGTGAGCAGACTCAGCAACCCACTGGCTGATTTCTCCTCCCTCGACCCCATTATTGTCATCCGAGCCACACGGACCGGCTGCCATAATAATTGCATTTTTAATTAACTCTAGGAACCCATGCATATCTCTTTGTCAAACAGCCGGAGGCTGGAGGGGTGTTAACTTGCGAGTGTGGATGACAACCCACAGCTCACATGCTCTATAGAGAGAACCTCTGGACTGGTTCTCATCATTCTAGTGCTCGGCATGATTGTACATGCGCATGAGAAAGTCCTTTAAAAAGGGAAGAGCAGCTAATTCTGATCAGTTTTTTTGAATCCCCACCTTGGCAAAACAGGGACAGAGGCAGGAAAGAAGACTTACAATGGAGCAGCATCTGAACAAGACGCACAGAATGCGATGAAAAACAGACCTGGGGCGGTGTGGGTGTGGGTGTGGGTCTGGGATGACTGTGTGAACCAAGTTCAATTTGCTGTTTCAGAGGTGGAAGAGGGCAGCCACTGGGTCTCTGGATGATCCTACGCTGGTCCTTTTGTCCAAGCAAGGGGTGAGGTAGCAGAAATAAAGGAATGTGTTGCCCCCCCCCCCCCCAAGGATGCACTGAGGTGCTGGACAAACCCAACACCTCCCAACTGCCGGCCACTCTTAAGTCTTCTAGGGCTTAGTTCAAGTGACATCAGAATAGCCTCACCAGGCATGCTGGTCCCTTTGGATCGGGGTGCGATTTGATGGGGAGCAGAGCGGGGAGGCTTGTCGATGGGATCCGTCGTTGTATCCCCCCACCCCCCAAATCTGGCTGGGTTTTTCAAGGAGTGTGCTATGCCAACAGGAAAGGAAGCGGTTCTTTTGAGGCCAAAGGGAACCCACGAACCTTCGCTGCTCCGGTCCCTGCCAGTGGAGCAGGAGACGGTGGAGGAGACGCATCTCAAATTTATTGCTTCTCTAGATGGCTCAGTCAAACATCGGTATGAGCGGCCAAACGGTTGCAATGCGGGTGGAGGAGGAGGAGGAGGAGGAAAAAGAGATGCTGCTACTGGGAAGCAATGGCCTGTGAAACCCTGCTAGGCCGTTCTTCAAGAGCTGTGGCCAGGAGGTGTCAGGTAAATGGCTCTCCAAAGCTGAGGACCAGCAGACCCAAGTCCAAAGTGGTTTTCCATGGGACTTTCAAGTCAAACCAAACCAAAAGCTGCTCCGGGAATGGAGTCGATTAAACACCCAAGCCAAATATCCAAAGTTCTTGGATGCTTCCAAGCAAGTTGCTAGCTGAGGGTCTCCATTGATTCGCGCTCGGTAAAGTTCCGGAGTGGGATTCCCCTGAGCAAAATCTCCACATTCCTCCTTCGTGGAGGAGAAGGAGAACGCAAAGCCACCATTAAAAGAAAAATCCATCTGGGTTGGGGGGGGAGGGAAGAGGGAGAGTACTTGAGCACTGAAAGGGGGTAAAAGGTCAGGCACCGAATCAGTCCCTCATGGTGGACTGGCATCAGCAGCAGCAGGAGAACGATGCTGTTCCAGGTCTGGAAGTCATGCAAACTGCAACAGGAAATAAGCTGGGGATACAGAGAGAGAGGGAGAAAGAAAGAAAGAAAGGACAACATCAAGTGTCAGTTTTAGAGCTACTTTGGTGTAATAGTTAAGATGCTGGCCTAGAAACCAGGAGACTGTGAGTTCTAATCCTGCTTTAGGCATGAAAGTCAGGTGCGTGCCTTTGGGCCAATCACCAGGAGACTGCGAGTTCTAGTCTCACTCTAGGCATAAAAGCCAGCTGGGTGACTTTGGCCAGTCATTCTCTCTCAGTCCAACCCACCTCACAGGGTAGTTGTTGTTGTTGTAGGGAAAATAAAAAGGTGTAGTATGAGTTATGTTTGCTGCCTTGGATACTATACTTCAGTCACATTGGGAAAAAAAACCTCAAACCGACATTCTGAGGTGAATCTCTTCAAGAACTTCAGGAGGTCATTAAGTGACTTTCCTCCACACAAAATAACCTCCGTTCTGTATACAGGCCAATTCAAATGCTACACACGAAGATCTGAAATTTGAGAGCTGTAGGCAACGTAATTTCATTTTAATGTATGCCGATTAGTGTACATTCAAAGTGACAATAAGGTTATTCTAAGTCTAAATCTCTTTTTAAAGCCATATATTAAAAATTCTTTGAGGGACAATTGTGCGAGGGTAATCTAGGACGTTTTCATGTAGATCCATATGATTTGTGTATCCATTGAGCTCCATCAATATGTTAAGTAACTAAGTGACTAACTGACATGATACCACCAGCAGCAGTCTGCAAGAAATTAAAATGAGCCCACCATTTGTCTAGTTTTATATCATTTTACTGTCTTAGTACACCTCCTTATTTTGGTATGACTTCCAGCAATTTCCAAGTAATTAGTTTAAGAGTTAACAATCAGAATACAGCTGGAAGGGACCTTGGAGGTCTTCTAGTCCAACCCTTTCCTCAAGCAGGAGACCCTATACAATTTCAGACAGGCAGCTGTCCAGTTTTAGAAACCTCCAGTGAGGAAGCGCCCACAACTTCTGAAGGCAAGCTGGTTAATTGTCCTCACAGTTAGGAAGTTTCTCCTTAATTCCAGGTTGCTTCGATCCTTGATTAGTTTCCATCCATTGTTTCTTGTTTTGCCTTCTGGTGCTTTGGAAAATAAATTGAACCCACGCCCCTCTTCTTTGTGGCAGCCCCTCAAATACTGGAACACTGCTATCATGTCACCCCTAGTCCTTCTTTTCTCTAGACTGGCCAAACCCAAATCCTGCAACCGTTCTTCATATGTTTTAGTCTCCAGGCCTTTGATCCTCTTAGTTGCTCTTCTCTGCACTTTTTCCCCCCAAAGTCTCAACATCTTTTTTTGTAAGGTGGTGACCAAAACTGGACGCAGTATTCTAAGTGTGGCCTTACTAAGGATTTAGTACCGATACTTCACGTGATTTGAGATAGTCTTCCTTCCCAATCCAACTTGCAAGGTGGTTGTGACGAAAAGGGAAGAAAGGAACACTATCTAGGCTGCCCTGAACTCTTGAACAAAAAGACAGAATGAAGCCAAGAAAAAAGGTTCAACCGGTGAATGCAATTCCCAGCCTTACCCTCAGCCACTTCAGTGGGCTTCCGAGTGGTCTCTGGACCACCGCCTCCGTTCCTCAGCCCTGCTGCTCGGAAGTTGGCGGGGCAGTTCCGGCTTGACCTCTGGCCTCCTCCTTGACGTCAGTTGCTCGGAGGAAGAACTGTATGCTTTTCTCCTGGGAGCAGAATCTTTGTCTTCCTGTACCAAAAGCAAGAGGAAAGAACTTTTAACAAAGCAGTCCCTTGTGAGTCACCTATTCAGGTAGTTCTCGACGTACGACCAAAAATTTTAGCCCAAAATTTCTTGTTGCTAAGCGAAACATTTGTTAAGTGAGTCCACCGCGTTTTATGACCTTTTTTGCTGAAGTTGTTAAGTGAATCGCTGTAGTTTTATGAAAAAAAACCCTCGACTAACATTGTTGTAATGCTCATTTAATATATAAAAAAACAAATTTTTATATATTAAAAACAAATTACATTTTACTATTTTCTACATGCATGCACAAGGTTCCTTTTATGGGGGGGGGGGAATGTCAGATAATGTTTTCCTAAATTCGGTGTGTGTGTGTGTGTGTGTGTGTGAACTAAGGAGAAAGGTGGCTTCTGTTTTAATACTTCCACAGTCTGAGAGGGAGGATGGTCCCTTGAACTCTTTTCTCCTGCTGAACAACCAAGTTTTAAAATCATATGAAAATGACAGTGAAGTTACTCCTTGGAGATCAGGTCTGGGTGTGCTTTCAAATTTAAGAGGATCAAAATACAAGTTGTCCTGTAGTTTATTTATTTATTTATTGGTTCGATTTATATGCTGCCCTTCTCCAGAGACTCAGGGCAGCTTACAATGCATTAAGCAATAGCCTTCATACTTTTGTATATATCTGCTTAGTAGGGCTTTTGGCCCCCCCTAAGCGGTGTTCTTTTTTATACAAAGTCAGCTTATTGCCCCCACAATCCGGGTCCTCATTTTACCTACCTCGGAAGGATGGAAGGCTGAGTCAACCTTGAGCCTGGTGAGATTCGAACTTGCAGTAATTGCAGGCAGCTGGCAGCTAAGTGCTATTTAATAGCGCTTTCGTCCACTGCTCTACCAGGCTCCTTAAATTAGTTGTTAAATTAGTCGAACTGTTGTTAAGTGAATCTGGCTTCCCCACTGACTTTGCTTGTCGGAAGGTCGCAAAATGGGATCGCGTCACCCCGGGACACTGCAACCGTCATAAATATGACTCAATTGCCAAACGTCTGAATTTTGATCACATGACCGTGGGGATGCTACTACGGTTGTTAAGTGTGAAAACTGGTCCTGTCACTTTTATCAGTGACATTCTAACTTTGAACGGTCGCTAAACGAGCTGTTTAAAGTCAAGGATTACCTGTAGTCAAGGGCCAACAGAGATGGTACAGACAGAGATATAAAACTTAAAAGACATCAGACGGGAGCAATATGGGGATCGGGAGAAGCCGGGAATCTCCAATTAGACGCAAGGTTTGCTGGGTGACTGCATCAGCGTGATTTACAAAACACAGTTGTTTTGGTTTCCCACAACATTTGGAACCACAACCTATCAACTCTCTCCTTTTATCCTAGTTGAGGATATGGTATGAATTTAACTTTTCTGTTCCTTTGCCCAGTCTAATTTGCTTCTCTGAACCATTGGGCTGGGCTAAATGTTCTCTAGAGTCCCTGATTCTAAACTAGGGGTGTCAAACTCTAGGCCCAGGGGCCGGATCCGGCCTGTGGGGTACTTAGATCTGGCCCGTGGGGCCACCCTGGAAACAGCAAAGGACTGGCCTGCAATGCTTCTTTCAGCAAAAACGGAGCTCATGAGGATGGCATGCAGCCCTTCTGAGCTCTATTTTCACTTGGAGAGGGTTGCAGGAGGTCATCTCAGCCGAAAACAGAGCTCGGGAGCCCATTTTCGCTGGCAGAGTGCTTGGGCTACCACAGGCGCCCCCGACATGAGTGATGTTGAGCTGGCCACGCCCACTCTGGCCGCCAGAAGTCAAACACAACCCTGATGCGACCCTCAATGAAATTGACTTTGACACCCGTGTTCTAAACTGTTAAACCAAAACATTCAGGAACGTTTTGGTTTCCCTCAAATAGTTCTTTCTCTTAAGGAGCCGGTAACTCTGGAAGTTCTCTTCCTGCAGGCTTATCTTCTGAGCTGAAAACAATTTCCTCAAATCTCTGGTGGTGTTTAGCATGGAGTTTTGATTTTACTTTTAATTGTTCCACTGCTGTGTTTTAGACGGATCTACTGGCTGTGTGATTTTTAATCCATTAAATAAATAAAACCTACTTCTTGCCGCACGATCCTGCACTTTCAGGCTGATGCCAGCAGAGTGCATTGCATTACAAGATCTAAATTCCTTCAAACGGTCAAAACTATAGCTCCTTTCAAAAAAAAAAAGAAAACCCTGCCCCTTTACACATTTTTTAATTGCCACTTTCTGGTTCCATGAACAATGGGGGGGGTGAGAAGAGGAGACAACCAGGCTCAGCTCTCCCTTCCACTCCTTGCCAGAAAAAAATTTGCATTTGATGGTTGTTTTGCTGAACCAAACTGCTTCCATAAATCCCTCATCCAGAGAAGTCACTCCTAAGCATCAGGGACTGAGAGTCTAGCCAGTTTCACCTGTGAAAGACGGACAGGGGGAGGGGGGAATCCATCTGCAGAGAAAAAAGGCCTCCTGGTTGAACCTTAAGACTTTTTCAGTCAGAGAATTACATCTGCAACTCTTGTTCTCTACCCAGACTTTGCCTTTGGTGGAATGGACCGCCACCAAAATTTTTGTATGTGTGTGTGTAGATAGATAGATAGATAGACAGACAGTATGTGTGTGCATGTGGGAGACAGAAAGATAGAGAGATAGATAGATAGATAGATAGATAGATAGATAGATAGATAGATAGATAGATAGATAGATAGATAGATGATAGACAGACAGACAGACAGACAGACAGACAGACGGGATGGATGGATGGGACTGGACTAGATGTATAGATAATAGGTATAGATAAGGTACATATAGCAATAGCTACAGCACTTATTTATATACCACTTCACAGTGCTTTACAGCCCTCTCTAAGCGGTTTACAGAGTCAGCCTATTGCCCCCAACAATCTGGGTCCTCATTTTACCGACCTCGGAAGAATGGAAGGCTGAGTCAACCTTGAGCCTGGTGGATTCGAACTGCCAAATTGCAGGCAGCCAACAGAAGTAGCCTGCAGTACTGCAGTCTAACCACTGCGCCACTGCAGCTTATATAGAAAGACAGAGGAATGAGATGATAGATAAGAGAGAGAGAGAGAGAGAGAGAGAGAGAGAGAGAGAGAGAGAGATGAGAGAGAGATGCATAGATATAATGATAAATATAGATAGCTAGATAGATAGCTATTGAGAGAGGGAGGGAGGACTTGTAAATTACTAGTGCATCAGAAAAAGAAAACATTTTCATCAGATACCTATTGTTGGTACTTCATGGCAGGAACCGGAGTAGGGTGAGGAGAAATTTGCTTCCCAAGAGTTACCCCAAATCAATTGGTAGTCATCATCCGCAACTACACAGGTTGCAATTGATAGGTCTCTACTTCTTGATGGGTTATAAGACTAACTAGAAAGTCTACAGTCGGCAGGTGGTTTCTAAGATGGCATTCTGAAGGTCAGTTTGGACCGCGGGTCTTCTTGGTTGGGTATTCTAACTTCCGAGACAAGATTTTTCTCTGGTGGGCAGGAGGGAAGAGAGAAAAGTTGGAAAGGAACATGGCGGAACAGGAGCGCAAACCATGACCAGCTCTAACACTCTTGTGAATTTTGAGGACAGAGTTAAGACTCTGCCAAATGGGTTGAGATTGTGTCGCTAGTGCTCAAGACATCCTAATGGTTGGCAGGCACACCACCGGGCAGGGCCCTATCCTCCCTCAGAAGCCATCAGTCACGCTATGCCTTTTCACTGACAGTTTATCTGACTCACGCAACCATTCAGCACAAATAGAAGAGGATTTAATTTAGATCTTTCAGCATCGAAGAGGCAGCTTTCCAAATGCAATTAATAAATAAAGGCTGGAGAATTACAGCTCATTTGGGGCAGTTTCCATTGAAAAGGTTTGGCTTGGGAGAGGCAGCGCGAAAGGGGAACAAAAATGCAATCCTGGAGACCAGATACTATGGTGGCTTGCCTAACCATGGTCTATGGGAGAATTTCTCTCAGGGTCCTTATAAGTCCCCGAGAGAAATTCACCCATCGACCATGATCAGTTGAGACATTCAGATTTGAGGTGGAAGGCAGGCCGTCCTTCATCCAAGTTTTTACAGAATCCGAATCCGTTCTCAAGGACAGGAAAAAGGGCCAAGGAAATGCTTATTGCTGTGAGCAAGTAGCACACAATGATGTAACAGCTAACGGAGAGTTGTGGTGATTGGGGACAAGAAAATCCTCCCCCGGATTCTTGGGAAATCAGCAGGTTATAAAATGGAATAAACAAGAACCTTCCTAACAATCATGGGATTTCTCAACAGGAATTTTGCTTCCTGTAGAGCTGTGTGGTACATCCTTATATGGATTAGTGGTGAGCTGCATTGCACCACGTGCTGTGGGCCAGTGGCCTTTTGAGTGTCATGACAGGAACCCATCCTGTGAAAAGCGAACACGGCCAGGACAAAAGAGCACGGGAAAAAATAGTTTTAATTCCATTAGATTTTAATTACTTTTTTTTCCCTTCTGTTCAATGGTGTCCGATTCTTGGAAACTGACTGGACTAGGCCCTTGCAATTCATTTGGCAAGGCTTTTCAGAAGTGGTTTGCCATTGCCTCTTTCCTAGGGCTGAGAGAAAGAGACTGGCCCAAAGTCACCCAGCTGCAGTGGTGGGTTGCTCCCGGTTCTGTCCGGTTCTTGCGAACCGGTAGTAAAAGCGGCAGGAGGCTCCGCCTACCCACCCAGACATCATAATGGACGATCTGCACAGGCGCACACGTGCTCCCGTTGCGAACCAGTAGTAAAGGTAAGTAGAACCCACCCCTGCCCAGCTGATTTTTCATGGAACTAGAACTCAGAGTCTCCCAGTTTCTAGCCTGATTCATCCACACCAAACTGGCTCTCTTTTAATTAACTAAAATACTGTACATTTAATGTGACAACTCCCAAATCTTTAAAATTTGAAAGCAGCTTCCAAGCACTCAGAAAGAGTTTCTGGAATACGGGATTGCCAGCCTGGGATGCAAGGTTGGATATATAACTGACCCCATAAGCTGAGCTGTTAGGCCTTTCTATCTGTTGCAATTTGATTCCAGTTACACAACACAAACAAAGACAGACTTCGGAATGTGCTACTTTTAGAATCCTGGCATTGTTATGTTTATCTGATTCGGCTGGTTTTCATGTAGCTTATTTTTCAAAGTCGAAGTTCTCACTGCTCTTATTTTATTTTTACCATCGTCCAGCATTAAGTCAGTAAGTTCTAGGGATCGGGAGGGAAAATAAACACTATAAAATAAGACGGCATTGGTAGGAACTCTTGAAAGAATCAAAACACATCCAATGCAGAGGGGCCAAAATAGGCAACTACAAGCATTTTGTGATGGACTTAAAAGTTAATGGATTTAAGTTATGAGCCGTGGTGGCGCAGTAGTTAGAGTGCAGTACTGCAGGCTACTTGTGCCGGCTGCCTGCAATTTGGCAGTTCAAATCTCACCAGGCTCAAGGTTGGACTCAGCCTTCCATCCTTCTGAGGTGGATAAAATGAGAACCCAGATTGCTGGGGGCAATAGGCTGACTCTGTAAACCGCTTAGAGAGGGCTGTAAAGCACTATGAAGCAGTATATAAGTCTAAGTGCTATTGCTATTAATAAAAGTGTAAGAAATAATGGCCGTGCCTATCTTGCTTAAATTCTTCTGTGTCAGGCTTTCATCCCAAGAGGGCAGTCCAGCTAAAACTTTGTCAATCTTGTGCTTCGATTTGGGGACCCCAGATATCTAACTCAACCAACCAAAGGCATTCTCTAAAGAAGATATCCTATTTTTAAAAAATGCCACATACGGTCACCCTGATCAGCCATACCATATCCCATCTCCCAGATTCTATTCCCCTTTAATTACTATTTCTAACCCCTCCCCATTTCCGCATCGCACTATAAATCAGCAAGCATTCAATACTTTCTAGGCATTCTCAATTGTCCCACATGGAAATCGAAGAATCATTCCCAAAGAATCTCTCTGTCAGACACTCACATATCGTCATATCGTCACCGCTATTGGCTCGGGAGAACCGGGCTGAACCGGGAGGAACCCACCACTGATGCAAGGGCAATGCATTGTTGCAAATCCAGAGGGAAAGGGGCACTTTGGGCTATACACCAGCTTGAACATGGCCCCTGATGGCAACTCTTTAAAATAGCCATGATTTCCCCTGAGTGCCCTCTGCAAAACCCTGAGAAAAGACACACCCTACATTCGCACCTCCATGTGCTCTAAACCAGGGGTCTCCAACCTTGGCCACTTTAAGACTTGTGGACTTCAACTCCCAGAGTTCCTCAGCCAGCAAAGCTGGCAAAGCAAAGTTGGCTGAGGAACTCTGGGAGTTGAAGTCCACAAGTCTTAAAGTGGCCAAGGGTTGGAGACCCCTGCTCTAAACAATCTTTTGCCCTGAGAATCTGAAAAGCACAAGTAACGGTCCACATTCAGAAAAGAAGCTTGAGCAAACTGAAGCAAGGATGGCTGAGCTATAACTCATACAAAAAGGCAGACGTTGAGTAAGATGTTCAGAGGAAACCACTGACATTTATGTACATGTGGATGTATTTATTAGTCGGAGCACAATGGGAGAGAATTTGAAGCCAAGTCATTTTTTTTTTCTTCTATAGGCACCCTGATTGGGGAAATATAAGCCAAGTCATTTTTTTAGGGCTGCTTTTCTTCAACCTTTTTCTTTCTCTGGGTTTTTTTTTTTTTCCGTCGCTCTTTCGTTTTTGTTTTCTTTTTAAATGATCACGTCCGTTTATTCTTTCGATAATGACAAATAGTCGGCATGTTAATATTATGTTCAGGGTTTTATAAAGTTCCCCATGGAGGTTTTTTTTTTTTTTAAGATGATTGAATGAACTTTGTTCGACACCATCAATGAATTAATGAAAATCATGAACTTCAAATTTCATGAGAATTGTAAACTTCCTTTCTGTTTACTATTTTGTTTTCTTTATCCACTGTGTTTATTTTTATTTTTCTTCTTTTGGTAGTTATTTATTCTTTTTAATGTTTCAGTAAATGAATCGAAAAGGAAAAAAAAACTATCTAGTGCTAAAACTAGAGCCCAATCCAAATCTGTTTCCAATATGCCCTGCCATTAAAACTGAAACAAATATGTACTGTATCAGAGATATAACAAGATCCATGGACTAATTCCTTCTGGCTCTTAATATAATTGTGGGGAAATTCCAGACTATTCATGGGAATATAGGAGGGATCCAAATATCTAGAGATGAATCAAAGGTTGCTGAGATGTCAACTGTGGGGCAAACCCTTTTACTGCTATTCAGTTCTGTCCCCGTTCCAAGCACGGTGCAAGATTTAACATTTAAGGAGAGAAAAATCAGCAGTTTGCGGAAGAGTTCTGAATGAAAATTAACCAACTGTTGAGTTTGAGACACAAACGAAGATGAACAGATTGTCGGAAAAGGCAAATATCTTCCCTTCCCTTTGTGGTACACAGAGATCTTGCTGCCCCAGCCCTTTTTAACTGTTCTATGAAATTGTTGTAATTCATATTGTTGTCAAAGTTATGTTGCAGATGGAACATAAGGTATGCAAATCTAATGGATGAAATTGCAGAGTATAAAAAATAATGTTGATGTACATGGATGGCCTACATAAACACCGCCGTCAAATGCAGGGTAGATATGCCAAATCAGCAAAGCATCCAGACTCCGGGGCATGAAATGGATGCTGATTGGGTAATTTCTATCTAATGGGAGTTGTACAGACACATCCTAAGTATCTCTCATATACGTACATGAATTGCATTTAATCTCTCCTAGGGCAAGGGGAACCACGCTAATAGAGAAGTTGAGAAATTTATAGCGTTCAATCAGTCAGATGCATACAAGCCCATACAGGTCGTCCTCGACATACGTCCATAATAGAGCCCAAAATTTTTGTTGCTAAGTGAGACATCTGTTACGTGAAACAGGTCCCGTTTTATGACCGTTTCTGCTACAGTTGTTAAGTGAATCACTATAGTTTTTAAATTAGTGACACGGTTGTTAAGTGAATCTGGCTTCCCCCATTGACTTTGCTTGTCAGAAGGTCACAACAGGTGATCCCATGACCCCCGGGACACTGCAACCGTCATAAATATGAGTCCGAATTTTGATCACATGACCACAGGGATGCTGCAAGAGTTGTAAGTGTGAAAAGTGGTCATATAACTCACTTTTTTCCACTGCTGTTGTAACTTTGAACGGTCATTAAATGAACCGTTGTTAAGTCGGGGACTACCTGTATAGGTGATTAACTCTGATTATTATCAGAAAGGATGGTAGGATGGTTGTCTTGTTTAAAAGACAGCTTCTGGCCCCAGAAAAGGATAATTTCCCCCTTTTTACCATGTTTCCCCAAAAATAAAACCCTGTCTTATGTTTTTTTGAACCCCAAAATAAGCGCTTGGCCTTATTTTCAGGGAGGTCTTATTATTTTGGGGCACGTGGAGCAAGATGCGGCTCCTCTTGCTGTCTTACCTGATTTCCAGCTCTGCGTTTAAATATTTTCAGGGAGGGCTTATCTTTGGGGGGCGGCTTATTTTAGCGCATGCGCTCAAAAGCTCGATTGGGCTTATTATAAGGGGATGTCTTATTTTCGGGGAAACAGGGTATATAAACAATCCTCTTCCACCTTAATTTAACAATGCAGTTATTTCAGAAGAAAAGGATGTCACACTTACTGGCATTACTGTGCAATTCCAAGAGGAAACGGTCACAAGATCATTGACGCAGCTTTTCTGGTTTAGCATCTCGGATGCGCTCAAGTTACTTTTGGTCCTTCTCGAGTCTAATTCTGGAGTATTCCAAGAATTCGACCCGGCACTCGCCCTTCTGGAATTCTGCTCAATCGCGTAGATGCGTGCCGTGGTCCCTTCCGGTTTAGAAGGGTCAGTAGATGACCTACATGGAGTCCGAGGATTTACATGGTCAACCTCTTTGGCTAGAGAGTCTTCCAAAGAACGCAATCCTCGCCTTGTCCGCCATGAGCTTCTTACTGTGACGTGCTTGGCCTCGGATGAGTTTGTCGCCAGATTGCTGTGACTCTTCCAGCTGACCGTCTCCATGGGCAGTTCGCTGTTTCTTTCGGTGGCGTCCGAAGGCCTTATTGTAATACTACTTTTGGAAATGACCGTTTCTACTCTGCTTCTCAGAACAGAGTCTCCGTTTTTATCGGTCTCTGGTAACTTTAAGGTTATGCTGCTCTTGGTAAGTGAGAAGTCGTTAGGAACGCTGGTTGCATCTGCTCCTGGGGACAGTTGGCTTGGAATGGCTTGAAGGGTTGCATGCAGCTGTTCCTTTGTAGGGTCCATGAGGCTGCCCCTTGGAGTCATTGGCTCAGATGGGTAAATGGTGATGCTGCTGGTCATTTTATGTGCTACTGTCTTACAGGTGGGGGGCTGTTTTTCACAGGGGGTTTCCAGACCGGAACCCACACCACCCATGACTTCCTTCACGTCTTTCTCCACAATTGCAGGTTTGATGATGGCTTTGGAGCGTAGAGCTTCCCGTGGACTAAATGGCCGTCGGGATTTCAAGCCTGACATCGCACCGGCTGTTGTCATTTTGGATAGTCGACTGAGGTCTTCTTCGCTGCTGGCATGTCTATCGTTTTCAAAGGAAGACGTATGAACGGATCCCCGGGAGGTGGTGAATTCCCGGGAAGCGTTCTCTTTTCTTATTCCTAAGTCTAAAGTAGCGGAGAGGTTTCCGATTTTGCTTGTCCCTTCCTCAATGCCGGATTTCTCGATCCGGCTGGGATTGGCAGCTTTGGACCGTGTTGCTTTTAGGTCCAAATTGTTGCAGTTTACAGTCGAGAAAAAAGTTTGGTCTGTTTCCCCTTTTTGAGGAATTGGATGATTCTGCGAAGTATCTTCTTGGCTTTTCGGAACGAGCCAAGGCTTCGATAAAAGAGAAGGTTTTGTCGTTTCAAGTGGAAGGTCCACGGGCTCTCTATTTTGGAAGAGGACTGCCTTTTGAGAGTCCTCTTCCAAGGGCTGCCTGCGAGCTGAAAACGTAGTTTCCGTCTTCAAGCTCACCGACTCAGAAGTTGAGGTTTCTCCTGAGGGATGCTGCCCATAGGACAAAGCAGCACCATTGGGTGGCCCACCGTTAGCTTTGGAGGTGCGAGTCTCCGCTGTGAGAACCAGCGATTCTGCGGCATGCATCCTTAGTCCCTTTTCAGAAGAAGGCCCTGTGAATTCTGGTTTGCTGGGCTGGTCTTCAAGTTCATCAGGTTTAATGTGATGAGCATCGTTCAGTGGTTGGGGTCCTTTTTCAACTCTATTCTTTGTGGTATTTTCATGCTTGGGTTTTGGAGAGGCCTTCCAAGATTTATGCTCCTGGGCTGCAGGTGGATAACGGCTAAGCACTGAAGGCTGTTCCCTAGACTTCTTCACTTCAGTGGCAGAGGTGCCGTTGTCTTTTGGTAGAGAACTGTTCACGCCTAAGGTGGATTTGTCTTCTACCCGTTTAGCATCAGTTGATAAAGAGTCTAATACAGTATATGTGCCAGATGTTTTGGCAGCCCTTCTGCTGTTCATATTAGGGCTTGTAACTCGCTTGCTACTTTGGCCGTAACTTTCATTATTCAATTCTCGATTGCGTAGCCTCTCCCGCCGGTGTTGAGGTGAAAGTTCCCGTGACTTATGTTTAGAAACCGCTGACTCGGTTGTAACCATTCGATGCTTGGGCCGGTCATGCTTAACTCGGCTGGGCATGTTCACTTCCTCCATCTCTGCTTCACCATTCTCCAGCTCTTTCTGCTTTTTCATCTCTGTTTTTATTTCTTCCAGCTGGCCCACGAGGATCTTATTCTTATTCTGTTCGCTCAAGTAGTTGTCATGGAGGTCATTGTTTTTGGCTCTTAGGGTTTTCAGCTCCTCTTCTAAAGACTCGAAATGTTTCATTTGGGTCTTCAGCTTCTCAATTTCTTGATTGAGGTCCCTCACTTTGTTGTCTTCTTGGTTTTTATTCTTCTGGTTTTCCGATTTGTTCCGAGTTTCGTTTTCCACATGTTTTAGGTAGTCCAAGCTAGCTTTTCTCCTGGTTTCTTTTGAGGATAGTGCTGAAGTTGTCAAGTCAACCTCAATCCTCAGGTCATTTCTGTCAATTATACTGTTGGATGATCTCTCCAAGAGGTTTGATGTATTGCGCGTTTGGTCAGCCCGATTGAATTTATTATTCTGTTCCAGCTTTAGGGTGAGCTCTTGTATCAGCTTTTCACTCTGCTTCTCCTTTTCAGTGAAATGTTTTCTTTCGTTGACAAAAATGAGGGCTAAAGATTTCAATTTGTCCAGTTCACTCACTAAGCTTTGCTCTGTTTTATCCAGCCGGTCTTCTGACTGTTCCAGTTCTTTCACTTTCGCCCGAAGAATTTCCAATTCTGTCGAAATCTTCTTGGTCAGGTTTTTCTCCTCATTGAGGCTGAGGCAAAGCTGAGTACAGTCGTTCTTACTCCGACCAAAAGCCTCCTCCAGTTTCTCCAGCTCAGCCATTCGCTTCTGGAGCCTCTCGATTTCAGATTTCAGTTCTCGGGTGAGGCTCTCCTCTTCTTCAAGCTTGGTCTTCATCAGGTGGCAGAGCTCCTCTGCCTTTCGGATCTCCTCGTCCTTGCCTTCTATTTTCAAAACTCTCTTTCTCAAGGTTTCCACATCAGCCAACATGCTGGAGTTGCTGCCTTCCGCCTGGATCACTTTATCCTGCAAGTCTAATAACTCATCCTCTGCTTTCTGGAGATTTCTTGTTGCTTCTTCTAACTCATCAAGGCGGCGGCTGAGACTCTGAAGTTTGAAGCGCAAATGCCGATTGGAGGTCTCTTTGTAAGACGAGTAGTCGGCCATGTTTGCCGCTCAGTTTATTTCCCTTTCCTAGGTCTCAAATGAAATTTGATGGTTGGTTGGTTCTTCTCCTTGATTTCATAAGGCTTCGTAGAGAATCGGCACCTTAAAAAATAAGCAAAAGCAAAAAGTCAATACAAAGATTGTGACTTATTTTGTTTTTTCTCTTCAAGTTCCATGATTGAGTTTGCTCTAATTGGAAGGACAGTAGCTCATCAATGGTCTCAGGAGGACAATTCATTACATTTCTAAGATACGACTGACAAAAGCTAAATCTAGCCGTCAACTTGATGGCCTTAAGGCAGGGATCTCCAACCTTGGCACTTTTAAGATTTGTGGACTTCCAATTCCCAGAATTCCTCAGCCAGTTGGGAATGGAAGTCTACAACAATTGCTACCAACCTGCCTTCCATTGAGGACCTGTATACTGCACGAGTCAAAAAGAGGGCTGTGAAAATATTTACAGACCCCTCGCATCCTGGACATAAACTGTTTCAACTCCTACCCTCAAAACAACGCTATAGAGCACTGCACGCCAGAACAACTAGACACAAGAACAGTTTTTTCCCGAACGCCATCACTCTGCTAAACAAATAATTCCCTCAACACTGTCAAACTATTCTCCTCCCACTTATGACTGTATGACTGTAACTTTGTTGCTGGTATCCTTATGATTTATATTGATATTGTTTCCTGATTGTTTATTTGTTCCCTATGACTATCATTAAGTGTTGTACCTTATGATTCTTGATGAATGTATCTTTTCTTTTATGTACTCTGAGAGCGTATGCACCAAGACAAATCCTTGTGTGTCCAATCACACTTGGCACACAATTTTTTAAAAAAATTCTATTCAAATCATAGAGTTATCAATGTTGGAAACCCCTGCCTGAAGGCACACCTTAAACAAAAATACTAACAGTTGGAATATCTCCAAACCCATATAAGTTCCAAATTTTACAGAAGAAATAGCAGAGATAATTTTTAGAAATGGTGTGTGAAGAACAGAAAAAGGCGTTCTCCACCAGCACTACCACCCAAAACTGTACCAATATTTAACAACTAGAAAATACTTTCTTTGGGCATTCAATTCATTGCTCAAATTATAAATCGGTACAAAATATATATAACATACCAGTTATTTAAAGAGCCATAGCACCAGGGGTGAAATTCGACCGGTTTGGACCGCCTCTGGCGAACCGGTAGGGACGATTTGAATCAGTTCGCCGAGCCAGTAAAAACTACCCGATTGGCCCCGCCCACACCCGCCCGCTTGCTGCTCACCCCTTCCGGCTGCTCAACGCATTTAACGTTAAATGCTGCAGCAGCGAATCCGAACTTTTCTCCCTCCCATTCACAGCGGAGCTGCTGCAGCCTGTCCCTTTAAGGTACTTCAACCCCTGGGAGGGAGGGGGCCAGTGGGGGACTATAAAGGGAGCAGCAGCTCCGCTGTGAATGGAGGGAGAAAAGTTCGGATTCTCTCTGCTACAGCATTCACTATGAGCCCTTCTGGTGCTCATACACATAATTTTTCCTACCGGGTTCTGTGGGCGTGGCTTGGTGGGTGGGTGTGACTGAGTGGGCGTGGGTGTGAGTGACATTGGGTTGGCCACGCCCACTCAGTCACAGGACACCCCACCAAGCCACACCCACAGAACCAGTAGAGAAAAAAATTGAATGTCACCACTGCATAGTACTATATATTTCTCCCTAAGCTTGGGCCCAATTCTCAGAGACCTACCAAAAGGTGCTATCAAACTGTCATTTGTAATACTGCGAGTGGGGAAGATTATGAAAGACACAACTGCAGAATACTCATTATAGCTGTACTTAGCTAATAAGTAAATGGCAAGGGCCCTAGTCTCCTCCATCAATGGGGAAAAGCTCTCCTCTTCGGAACATAGCTATAGTGCTCCAAAGCAGACAGTGTGATGCATTGTGGAACAGTGTCCTTTGAGCGCATACCAGGGAAATCCCAGAGGCTTTCCGTATGCAACTCCATCATGGATTGACTATATAAATAATTTACCTTTGAACGTGTAAATAGAGCTAAATAGTTTTATATTCGCTCGTTGAGAATGTAATTGCAATGTGCTTTTTAACATTTTCACCATAGGTTAAATAAATAAATGGAGTTAGCTTTGATTACTGTGACATTAAATGAAATTAGACCCAGTTTTTGTTGTGGCCCCATCCATTTTTTGGCATGGGTCCTGTGACCCACTACACAGAGTCCCAAAATGGCTCCTGGCATAACCAAATAGAAGCCCAACTACTGTATTTTTTGGAGTATAAGACGCACCTTTTCCCCCCCCCAAAAAGAGGGTGAAAATCTGGGTGCATCTTATACTCCGAATGTAGCCCTGGAGCATCAGAAACGAAGCTTCAAAAAAGAAGCCCCCAAAGCTTCAGAGGCTTTTTTTTCTGAAGCTCTGTTTCGGAGGTTTTTAGAGGCAGAAAAAAAAAGTTTTTTTCTGAAATAGAGGTTCAGAGGTTTCAGAGGCAGAAAAAAAAGCAAAAAAAAAAAAAAAGCAAGACACAGAGCTCACAACCAAGGAACCTGTTGCTAAAATTCACCCCTGGGAACAGCTGATTGGGGGTATTCCAGGAGGCCGATCCACCTGCCAATCAGCTTTTTTCTTATTTTCCTCCCCAAAAATTAAGGTGCATTTTATACTCCGAAAAATATAGTAATTTACTCTGCAGCCACTGAGGTAGCATAGACACCTTACTGTGTACCAATTTATTATGTTCCAACATAAAATCCACAATGCGCATGAAGGTTCAGTGGGCCAGCATACTGTGAGACCTCCTTGGACATGACTTACGTCATCCGTGTTGTACACTGAGCAACAATGGCAAAAAACAAAGGTCATATTAAAGCAGGGCAGGCTGTTTCCTTATAGTCCAAGACATGGCTTGCTTTCCGTTGCCTCTTGCCATGTCCAGCTGGAATTTCAAGAGACAACAGGGGGACGTGTGCACCCCATTTGGGAGAAAAAACCCCTAAAGCAGCCTGTATTCTCGGAGCACAAACTTTGTAGGGGTGAGAAAATGGTACCCTGCTATAACCCAAAGACAGAAATGATGGCGTAGTGACCCTAAGAGGGTCAAGGATGAAAACGAAAAAAAAAAAAATCAAGTTGATATCATCACACACTTAAACGAGCCAAAAATATCCTCCTGTATCCTCTTCTTCTTCTTTTTTTTTTTAATTTGATTTATATGCCGCCCTTCTCCGGAGACTCAGGGCGGCTTACAATGCGTTAAGCAATAGCCTTCATACTTTTGTATATTTATACAAAGTCAGCTTATTGCCCCCACAAACTGAGTCCTCATTTTACCTTAGAAAGGATGGAAGGCTGAGTCAACCTTGAGCCTGGTGAGATTCGAACTTACAGTAATTGCAGACAGCTTCCTTGGGAAGCCTCTCCCTCTTCAGTTGAATCCTGATGCCATCTGGTTGCAAGGGAAAGCTCTTTATACCCCAAACCCAACCTCTTGTGATATGAATCGCTCACAGTCCTATTAGACGGCTCCCACCCAACAGATGTCCTTTCCCAGAGAGTTAGTTCACTTCCTTTTCCTTTCCTACTGCTGAATTACTCAGCCTTTTAAAAAAAAATGGGCAAAAGAGCATTTTGTAGATTTGAGACAAGGAGTCCAACATGATTTGGAGGCTGGGGCTGGTATCTCCGACAGGGGCTGCCCACAAAGAAGAGGGAGTCAAGCTATTCTCCAAAGCACCTGAGGGCAGGACAAGAAGCAATGGGTGGAAACTAATCAAGGAGAGAAGCAACTTAGAACTAAGGAAACATTTTCTGACAGTTAGAACAATTAATCAGTGGAACAACTTGCCTCTAGAAACACTGTTCTAGATCTTCCTCATTCCATCTAGGTCTTCCTCACTATTGTGCAAAATTATCCTTCTTGGGCAAGAACTTTTTTTTTCTTGGCTTCTTTTTGATCAGCTGTTTCCACAGCTTTCTTTGCAGCCTTAGAAGGACCAGAAAATTGCACTAAAATACAAATCGTCATGCCCCACCCATTCAAGTGATGGATTCTCCATTTTCCCCACTAACTGCATTCCAATGGCAGGGTTCCAATTGTTGCAGAAAATTTAGGGTTGAAAAGGGAACAGGGGTCCTTTTATCATAAATATTTATATGTTGCCTTCGTGTGGAGAAAAATATTTAACCCAGAAATATTCAAAATAAAAAGGAGGGCATGGAGATGATGAAAGCTCAGAGGGCAGGAACACTGTAAACAGCCTTTCCCCATCCCTTTTTTTAGTTTTATTTTTCCGCTGCTTTTTAACATTCTTTTTTTATTGGGACAAACCAAACATCAACAAAACATTCAAGATAAAAAGGAAAAAAGGAGTTGTTAAAAACAAAAGGTGGGGGGGGGACAAGGACTAAAAGCAAACACTGGAGGGGGAAAACACAGCTGTGGGTATATGGGAACATACGAACGCACATTAAGGAGACACACAAAAAATTAAACATCTGCATCCAATATTTCTATCTGGAAAGACCCTGGCACAGATGGAGTTTATCTACTAGAACGACATTATTGCAAATAGTAGATGATTTTTCTTTCCATTCCTGAGATGGTATTGCTGCTTTTAAAACCAAAATGATAGCTGAAGGTCAACCTGACTTTGCCTCTGGAGTGTTATTTAGCAGCTAAAACCATGGCCACTCCAGATGTTTTCTTCCCTTTTTAAAGGGCAGGCTTTCCTGTCAATCAGACAGGAATAGGGGCTTTTTTTCCTCTCTCTATAAACAGCAACCACGAAAGGTAGCTTTGGGCTAAGTTAAATTAAAAATGTAAAATGGCCTCTCCCAGCTCCTTAGACCAGGAAGACTCAAGATCTGATGTCCTCCAGATGTTTTGGATGACACTTCCTCCAATGCTTTGCCATAAACTATGCTGGGTTGGAGCCAATGGGGACTTCAGTCAAAAACATCTGGAAAATACCAGGTGATCTTAGAATAGTCTTCCTTACCCTGATGCTTGGAAGGTACTTCTGTAGTTTACTGAAATGTCTTTGTATTTCAAAAATGAGAAGATGGAGCAGTGAGAGGCAGTTTGGTCTAGTG